ACTTATCCCCCTGATACTTGCATTTTATCTGGTTTTTATTACTCAAAATGCTGACTCCTGCTTTGTTCATTCATGGAAATAGCATGTAAAGTCATCCCAAGGCCAGCTAATAACCTGTTGCTCTCACTTGATCCTGAGCTTTTTATCTCTTTCTGGTTTGCCAGTGCTTTTACTCATCTTACAGGTTTTGAATTAAATTCTAGCTTCTGTAGTTAATAGAATAATTTCCATTGAGGATGGAATCAAACAAATTACATATAAATGAGGTGTACCCCATTTATTACATTTCTTCTTGGACTAAGCAAACTTCTTTTTCCATGCTATTGTTATCTGCAGGTGATTTGGAGTACTTGGAGGATTTCCTGTCAACCTAGCCAAGTTTTCTCAAAGGAGGTAAAGAAATCCCACAGAGATGTTTTTGCTGGACTAGCAATTTCAGAGAAAGAATTGCACTAGAAAAGAGAATAGGTAAAGAACACTTCTCAACTGCAGTGAATAACTTTTTTTTAATAGACTTTTTTTACTGTATGGTTAAATTTTCTTTTCTAACTTAAGAACTTTTTTCTTTTACACCTAGGAATTTCACTTGTTTTATTAAATCATGCTAAAATTTCATAAGTCTCCCCCTTTCAGTTAATATTATTGTGAAAAACACTTGAAGACAGTTTGCAGTTCTAGATAACCTTTTTCTTTTTGTTTTCATAAGCCAAATGTAAAAATTACCATATTCACCTGTGAAGTCTCTCAGTAAAAATGCCTGCAGACTTTTGAAAGCATAGAGTTTAATCAACCAAGACAGCTATTTTTCTTCATTAAATTCCTTTGAGGCTTAGGCCTCAAAATTACTTTCTGAAATGGCCTTTTCCTTCTTATTATCTGGTAGTAACTAGCAACAAATCTGTTACCTAACACTGTAGCTACGGAGAGCTCACAATTCGTTGGAGACACTTTTAAATACCCCTGAATACAATTTTTACCTTATGTAACATATTACCAAGTGTTTTCCTCCTTGATGTTTGATCCTTAATTAAAACAACTTAAAAGTTGCCAATATAGAATCAACTTTAATCTTTGTATTTCAGGATGTTGTTAAACGTTAAGGAAGCAAGACTGAGCCTATTCAGCCCTGGAAGTATTTCCATTTTTTCTTTGATATCCCCATTTTCTTGACTGAATGCCTGAGAACATAACTGTACACATACTGTTGTTTCTGGATGCTGATGACCTTCAACAGCTGTCAGAACTATGCAAGAACTTCCAGCAGGTAATGTCATATATTGGTGCCCATATTCAAGTTCATTGTTAAGAAAGAAGGTGAGGTAGAACCTCCCTTCAAGTTGATCCAGCAGAACCATCTGCAGTTCTGCACAGCCAGATATAGGGAGCAGCACAACACACACATACCTGGGCACAGATCAGTAGTTACAGGCCAAGCCCTCCATGCTGTGGACAATCTAAAGCCAAACCCCCTGTCTTGCCAGCTGGAGCCTTCCACAATTACTTTTCAATCTGTTCACAAGAGTTGGCAACTGAGATCCTGGAAGAAGAAAAAAACCCAAAACACCTATACCCTAGAAGACCCAGCCCCCCTTCCCCTCCCCACAGCCTCTCCTCTCCCCCCCCCCATTAATTTTTATGCAGAATCTTCATATTTTATTTTAGACTATATCAACATCTTTAAAGAGAAGGGGGGAAAAAAGAATCTCCTTTTTTGCATGGTTTTGTATCTCCTGCCTTCTGCACATTCTGGGAGCCATTTATGGATCTTGCATGCACCATAAGTCTATTTGGCATTTTTTGCTAATCTTTACCCTTTTGAAGCGTGTTGGAGAATTTATTTTTTTTTAATAATCCAGGCTGTTAACTAGAATTGAGCAAAGAACACTGCAGTCCAATGTCTTGTGTGTTTGTGTCAATTTGAATCAAAATACTGTAATATTTATGTGACAATATGAGCATCTGATAGTATTTATGTAATTCTAGATGGGATATGTAAATGGGGCATATTCAGGAGATCAGGTGTGGCCTAAAGAAGTGTAAATCACAAATATATCTGGAATATATTTATTTTTAATTATGCAAAAATGAAGAAGTTTGGGAGAGGAATTAACTGCTAAGAGGAAACCAGCACTTGGTAAGATGATATTTTCAGTCTTCATGAACTTCAATGGAAAGCTCAAGTGGAGGCACAGAAGACAGAGTGAATGCCTTTAAGTTACTTTGAAATTATCAGATAAGATTCTGGTTTCCCACTTGTTTAAGATATTTTTTCTTTCTAATGAAACAGTTATAAATAAGTAACTAGAGAATTTTAAGTAACTCCTCTCATCATATAAGACTCTTAACAGCACCACCAACTCACAAGTAATTTTCCCCTGATTTTCAACATTCCATCAGGTTTGGGGAGGGAAGTACTACTCAATTTTCTTTTTTAGGCATATTTTATTCTGATGTTCAATATTATTTTGTGCCCAATGAGTGGGTTTTGTCATGTTTGTACTTCAGGCTTTTGTTTGGTCTGTTCAGGACTAATACTGCAAATAAATGCCAGCAGAGAAACTGCCTTCAGCATGAAGAGCAGTAGTGTTGGCTTAATCACAGACGGACCTCCAAAGACTCTCCAAAAACAACTTTCAACCATTTGGTTTTAAATGAAAAGAAGCAACTGAATGTATTTAAAAACTGAATGTGAAATTGTCAGTACAATGTTTGGATCTGAATAAGCTTCTCTTTAAAGCTGTAACGAGCACAAATGCAGGGATTTTTTACTGAATATTTACATTCCACATCAGTTTCCTGTAACACAGTAGCTCACAACAGAATGGAGCCCAATCTCCATTTAACAGACAGAGTGATTTCCATCTTCCTAAATATCAATGACCTTGGAATTCAATAAGAAGCAGGGCAACAGAAATTTGCTGAAGCTATCAAGTGGGTGAAGGTTTTTTACTAAATGTAGAACATTATATTTTAAAAGCAAGAAAACAGATGGTACTGAAGTCAGTTGTGATGTAACCAGACACAATTCCCATTCCGTGGGGATGCTGTCTCTACTTTCAGCTAAGCTGAATTTGCAAAACAAAGTTACTATTGTGGCAATGAAGCTCTCACGCCACGATGAGTTTGCACAAAGGCAGGCAGCAAGCCTGCATTTATTTGATGTCATCGGGAGAAGCATAAAAGAACAAGTGAGCACAGAGCAGGTGGCAGCTCCTCCTGCCTGGCTGCCCCAGCAAGGGAAGCAAGCTCAGGCCCTGCTGCACTCCTGTGCAGGAGACATTGGAGCACGGACTTGAAAATGTATTCTGCTGCTTTAGCCACTGTACTTTGCAGCATTCCCGTGAGGTACGTGCTCGATTCCAGCGGGCAGTCTTCCCTGCAGATATGGCTGCACAAGCTCCCATCCCAAACCTGATTCCTGTTTCCACAGGCACAGGCTGGTCCTGCTGGCACTGCCCAAGATGACCATGAGAGCAGAGAGGGGAAGCTCAGCAGTGGTGTTTTCTCTGTTGAACAGGGGTCACACTGTAGCAGAGAGCCTGCAGGCAGCACTCCCATGCACCCTGGTATTCCTGGTATTCCTGGGGTTGCCTTGCTGCTCCTGTCTCTCCTGAGCTACTTGTGGCAGGTGTAGCAAAGCTCAGATCCTGCTGATGGTGGCTGGTACTTCCTATTGCCCCTCTCAGATGTGGGAAGAATAGATGTCAGTACCTGCTGCATAAGAGAGGCTGTCCTAAGGGTTCCTTGAGTGGCACTTCCAAGACATCAGGCAGCTGGGGCTCCTTGGGATGCAGCTCAGGCTGCAGCTGTGTACACAGATGCTGACTACTGCACTCTCCACATCCAAATTTGAATGTCCTGAATATTCCTTCCATATGAATACCTAAGTCAAAGGACAGGCTCTCTGCCCCTCTGGGCAGGAGGACTGCATTTACAAGAACACAACGATTTGTCAAAAGGCTGCAGAAATTTCTGTCTTGACCTGGATCTCCAGCTTGATCTGATGGACACAAGTGTTTAAGCTGTGACAGTTTTTACTGAGATGAGGTTTGAATGAGGAGTCCCAAATGGAAAAATACTGCAAAATCACTGTGTTTAGTTAGTTCTCTATAATACTATTAAGAGGTGCTCACAACCAAGGAACTTGGGTGCAGGTGGAGGAGAAGCCCAAAAGCCAAAAGATACCAAAGTCAAGTTGTGAGAATGTACAAGATCACAGCTCCTCTGTGTCCTGCTGGTCCCTCTCACAGGTGAAACACACCCCCTGCCCCACTCACCACAGGACATCCAAAACGGTGGGAAATGCTTCTGAGCAGACCTTCATCTGGTGAAGATCCCAGCTCTGCCCATCTCTCCTGCAGAATTTCCCTGACGAGTTTCCTTGGATCAAGCCAGGATTTTTCATTGAGAGGAAAGCCTTCCCTCCCAGTGCTCAGCCAGGACACCAAAACAAAATCCTTTCTCCCGCAGTCAGGATAAAATTGGCAAATGAGATAAACTTTAGATGGAGCTAAACCCAGATGATTCTCTAGCAGCAGTTAATCTTGAAATAATTTTAGTTGGCAGCTGAGTTATATAGCCTGATACTAAAATTCTTCTCAACTGTATTTTTATCTGCTTCTGAAGCATGCAAAGCAGCATAGTAGCATCTTACTTATTTTTTTCTGGAGTAATAGATGAAAAAATAGCACAGTATCACATCTCAAAATCATAGTCAAAATCTTTTTTGCATTTATTCTATTTAATGCTTAATATCTGGTAAAATACAATAAATAATTTTCAGTTTAGGACAATTAGATGTTATGCTTAATAATAAAATGTTCAGAGAGGATGTAAAAATAAATTAATATCCTATTATTTAACTTCAATGACAAAGCAGGTCTCAGTTTTAGACAACTGAGAAATTTTCAGCCATGAAAGATAAATGAACATATCCTGCCCTTTCACAAACACACATCATTGAAACCAACAGAAGACACACACACACACACACACACACACACACACACACACACACACACACACATACACACGTGCCTGCCTTAGAGGGCAGAATTTGGCCTAGATCTTACAAAATGGTAGTTTGCAATTAACATTCATGTGAGTTTAATTTTTTAACAAATAAAACTGCAGAATGTTCATGTATCTTACATTTTCCAAATCCTGTTACTGCAACTTATATGAAACATTAGCATATAAAAAGTCATCACTGTACAACCACTGTTTTTTTGTCCAAAAGTCAGTGTCAGAACAACAAAAACCAGCTAATTAATTAAAACCAGATTTATTATTAATGTGCTGATGTTTGCATTAGTTGTCTTCTGTTTCAAGCACAAAGAATCTATTAAAACATAAAAGGCAAAAGTGGCTCAGAAAATGACAAACTCTCCAACAACATACTTGTAGCTTTACTAACACTTATCTGACACTATGGTTAATTGAAAACCAACGTAAACACCATGAGGCACAGATACCACTGGACATTCCTCACAACTGTGCAAACTGTGGGCCTCATCCTGCAAACACCACTGCCTCCAGAGCTTCGTCCCAGGGCAGGGCAGGTCCCACCGAGTCTGACTGCAACACCCTGCAGCAACCCCCGCCCCTGCCATTTGCAGGAAGGGGTCCTGTGGACCCTTATGTCATGCACCAGTACATGTAAAGTGCCTCAGATTTCCAACTGATGCAATTTTACATTTCATTTCTTTAGACTCAAAAAGATGATATAGCTTCTGTAAAGTCTTATATAAATATTCCCTAAAATTGTTAGAGTCTTCTATTTCAATGTAAATCTAGTAAAATACTTGAACTGCTCTTAAATTAGGCAGAGAGTACTTGAGCTGCTTTTTGTAAGAAAGGAACACTATTCCTTTGCTGTAAGATATTTTATATATCTCCAGTCACTCTTCCCTTTATTCTACAGAAAGTAAGAGGCAGAGCTATTATTATTTTGTTGATTCAATTGCCTGTGGAGTTCTGAAACAGCCCAATGGATCTTTTGTAATGATGCTGAATCTTAAATTCATTCCTTTTCACAAGCTTTTTCCCCCAGACTGTTTTATTCTGCTTCTTCGACCTTTTCAGAACTACCTCCGGCTGAATTATCTGCCTCACACTTTTTATCAAGAGCATCTTCAAAGGATTTCCCACTGCAGTCATAGGTTTTACTTGTAGGTCCCACATGTGTTCGGATGCGAGCTCCTGGCTGGTACAACTGCATGGCTGGACGATCCTGGAAGGAAGAAGATAATGGTTAATACTCTGAGAAACCCATGTGGGACACATATGTGTAATTTTGAAGTTTTGAATTTTTATGAAGAAAGTAGATTTTGTGTTAAATTACTTTACATTTCACAAGAACCAGGACAAAAAATTGAATGTAATGAAAGTTGACTGGGTATTCAATATCTAGCATTCACTATCTGTTGTTCATAACACTATTCTTGGGAGCCAAACATTTTGAATAAATGAAAAATGCTGTAAAGATTAAAGATCCTGTGATACTTTTGACATAAACAAGGAGAAATACTGCAGACAATTATCAAACATGATATTTACAAGTAAAAAAAAAGAAATCTTGCTACATTCACTAACATCAACTGAGAAGAACAATAGCCTGTACATTTGCAACTCTGCAGATGAATGTCAAATATTACATAAAAGCATAAAAATCCAAGACAGACCAGAGAACAGCTCAGCAGGTAGCAGCTAGAAAATTATCCTCAACTGATCATCAATCATTACCCAATCATTACCAGAATTTAAACATGCAATGCACATTTGAATTATATATATCAAAATAAAATTGCACAGTTATTGCTCCACTTCATCTTGCCTTCCATACTGGGTATGAGAGCAGGGGAATTTATGCACTGATAATAAACAAAGTACAATTTGAGCATGTGCAGGCTCTGTGAGTGACCCAATCATACACATGCTGCTCTGATCCTGAGAAAATGGAAGAAGGAGCCAGTTTACATAGAAAAGAGACCTCAAACCTGTAAATGGTGAAACCCTGCTTAAGAAGCCTTTTCCTGGTAAGGATATTTTACTTCCACATAATGTTATGAAGCAACAAAAGCTCACCAATACCTGAGCTTTCTGATCAGTCTTGTGTTAAGTTTAGCTAACAGACAGCAGTCTACTTAAAGACGGTGGCAGAGCATTGAAATTGTCCTCCATGAAACTACACCAATTTTCAATTGCCTTCATAATGTGAAGTAATTCTGGATTTTTGTTCTTTCATTCTTTTTTCTTATTCCAAATATGCATTTCCTCTTTTCTTTTCTTTTTCTTTCATCTTTTTTGACCCACTTGTCTTATTTACATTCACTTTTTTTCTCCTTCTCTTTAGACCAGATGTCAAGATTCACTACTGAGCCTTACGACTAGATTATTCTAGTTAGTGCTTTGCAATGTGGTAAGAAATGCATTTAAAACACTTGTATATTCCAAACAGCTGAATAAAAGTAGATCCTCTGAAAAGCAGTGCCCATTAGAAAGTTTACAACAAAGGGTCCAAATGACTTTTCCCTACCACATCCTCTGTAGCCTGCAGTTTGCATAAAAACTATCATGTTACTTACACTGAAATTTTCCCATTTTCTAATTAATTCCTACAAACTTCAGAAAAGGGTTCCATCTCTGACTAAAAATTTGTGTTGCCATTGTCAGTGCTATACCTAAGTTGTAAAACTGAGCCCCTAATCTCACCTATGTGATAAATACTCTAAAGAAAAAAGTCACCACACTGCAAAATACCTTATTGATGGTGCTTATTGTTTTAGGGAACAAATCTAGCATTTTAGTCCTAAATGTCTAATCCAGAGACTCAGCAAGCTACTAGAAGTGTGATGCAAAAACATAAAAAGCAGGCAGCTTCTTAACATTTGCCAAAAGTCCCCCAAGACCCACCATGCAGTTCCAAGGTTGGAGATCGATTTGACAGATTTCAAGATGAGCACAGCAAGAATCAAAAAATATTTTTCCCATCTTCCCATTTCTGAACTAGCCATTTTTCTGGCTGTTCTGCAGAAGAACGTAGAGCCACTGATGAGGAAAGTGGCTAATGTGTAAATGCAGATAAATCTTAGCCATCCTGCCCAGCTGACCTCTGCATAAAATAAACCCCAGAGCACACCAAGCTTTCTGTGTTTGCTCAGGATGACTTCCTTGACATGCACAGTGAGTCCACCTGAACTTGCTCCCTACACACTCCATGCAGACTCACACTGCATGGGACCAGTTTACTCTTGTCAGCCCTAGCCCATAGTACAGATTAGTCACTTGCTTTGAAAGAAGAGTTTCACATGAAGAATAAATTTCTACGCTATCAGTGTTTTGGTCAACTTTTGTGGAAAATCTAGGATCACGAGAGAGAGAGAGAGAGAATGGGGCTGATAGAGAGCCACATCCTGAAAAGACTCTGGCACATCCGTGAAATCAGCCAGCCTGAGAAAAACGATACCCATATCTCTGGAAGACAATAAAGGACAGCTCTACTACACACCCTGATACAGGCCCTGTTCACACTGGTTTTGCATCTGCTCTTCCCCTGACAACAGCTATGAGGATAGATTTATGCTGATGAAATGATGGCCCTTTCATACTGGCAGGTATGCAATACTGAAGAATCCATACATTCTGAATTAGCTATTTATTGAAGTCCTTATTGTTGCTCTACCAAGCAATGCCTGGCAAATCCATAATATAATTATTTTATGAGAGTAATGGAAGTACATTTTTAAAAGACTAACACACCACAGTTTTTAAATTTCATTACAGATCAGAAGTGTAACAATTTTTTAATACACTTATAAAATGTAAGGCTTCCAAGAATAGTATACTTAAAATGACAGGGTTGAAATGACGACAGAAAGTCTTCTATACATTGTGAATATAAAAAAGCCTGTAAACTTAACTTATTTTAACTGCTGTTGTCATTTGACAACAACCCAGAAAGAGATCTGGGTTTTACTGAAAAGGAGATAAAGAATTATTTTGAAAAAGTATCTTTATGCTGAATTTGCAGAAGCTGAAACCTGTGATCTTGAACCATATTTAGCTAATGAAAGATTATCCTAAATGAATAAAAGAACCTTATTTCTTATGCGCTCCTTTTTGGATGCCATGTCATCACACTTGTCCTCTTTACCCAGTTTGTCTACTGCCTCCACAGTGAAGCTGTAGTTGTAGTTCCCTTTCTTTCCTTTGTCTTGGTTGTATCCTTTCCCCCATTTCAGCTCTTCTTCACTCCTCCTCATAAACTTGTCAAACTCATAGTGAGTTCTATGCTTTCTGCCATCATCCAATCGATACCTTTGTCTTTCAGGTTCTTTTTCTCGAAATCTTCTCTCCAAATCTCTTTGCTCTTTGTCACTATCATTTTGTGACCTATGAGTATGTATAAAGAGAAAGAAAATCCAAGCAATTAACAGTAAAAAGGAGCAGATAAAAAAAGATACAAGTTGAACCCTTCTTTTGACTTCAGTAGTGTGTAGGTAAGCCATATGACAAGGTTTTCTTCTCATTATGAAGGGTTTATATGCTGAATGTCTCACCCATGCAAGTCCAGCCCTTGACCATGCATTCAGTTCAGAATAGCAGACAAAGCTTTACCAAGCTTTTGTTGACTGTTGTGGAAGACCCATTCTTCACCTTCCATCCCTCTCTGAAATCCTATCAATAGTTCCCCACATTAACACATGCTGCATTATTAGCTCTTGTAGCCTGGTGTTGAGATGAGTCATGCAAGTAAGTATTCCCTGAAACAGGAACATTCAGGATCTGAAGGAACTGTGCAGGTATCATGTATCAATTTTATGTCTCTGTAAAACAAAAATTATTTACTGACATCATAACTTGCAGAAGACATTTGTGAAAATAAATTCTTATGTTCCAGGATTTTGTTTATTGTGTCTCAAAGTAAGCTAGCCTGCCTTTGCATATTTTATTTTGGCAAAGACCACTACTTTACCACAACCTGATACTTAATTTCTGCTATGCTGTAAATGGTTTATATTATAAAGACTATTGGCAACATTTTGCTGCCTGCCTGCTAAAATACTCAGCTCTCTTATTCACTTCATTGTTCCAGTTCAGTAAATAGGTGTTTCTCTCATATGACCAAACTGCAAATAATGAAGAAAGATTACAAAATATACTGAACTTCAAAAGAAACAAATACAGGCAGGGTTTTTTTTTATTACATATGTATAAATACTTAAAATTGAAACAGCAAGTTACTTTTGACAGTCTCCTCATATTCTGGGAAACTGCAGATAGAATCAGAGAGGATGGAGATTTTTTAATGGTGTAGTGATCAAAAAGTGATATGATTCTCATTTAGAATTATTTAATACAAATAAAAGTATCTATATATATAACTTTTTTTTTCATACAAAATGTGAAAATTGTTAATATCTGTCATGAACTTGGGTATTAGTGGGGCTGCCAAAAGAGGGTCCCCATCTCAGGAAGAGCTGAAAGTCAGAGCAGAACTTGAATAAGAGGTAAGGTATTTAGCATTTTGCCAGACTGAAGTTGTGTCAGCACAACACATTCACCAAGTGGAAGCAACGTCCCAGCTGTCACAGACACCTGAACCAACCACAATTACACAGATCCTGTACCTGTAGCATGGATACATCTATATAAAATACTATGTTATCTCCCAAGGAGTATGTGGCTATAAGTTGCTTTGTTTCATGTTTAATATGCTATTCCAGAACCTAATTCCAAGTCCTAGCAAGGCTTGGGGCATGACCTTCCAAAGAGCCAAAAAGACTCCCTCAATTTGTTGCTGTAGTATTGCCTGGTACTAGTCTCTTCCCTTGTCTGCTACTGCTGTGGAGGAAGTGCTGTGTCTGAAGGCAGGCAGGTGACAGGGATACAAACTCCTGTTCAAAGAGTGGTTAAAGTAGATTCCCAAGATTCTGTCACAGTGAACAGGCAGACAAGAGTGCAAATGGCAGGGTAAGCAGTTTCAGTGTATAAGTAGAAGACAAAGTTACACAGTCAGAGAAACCAGAAATGAATGGAAATAAAGGGAATGGGAGCACACTTCTCTTCGGTATAGTTTCAAACCTGCATTTGACCATGTAACTTATGCACCTACTGAGATTTTGATTTGTGGTAGAAAGCTACTGCTACCAAACCTTTGACATGGTTTCAAACGGGCAATTCAGTCTCCTGCAGGTAGACTTTGCAGCTCCAGCTAATTACCCATTTCTGAGTCAGTGACAAAGTAGTTTCAGCTTTAAATCTCAATCCAGATGAAATAGCTCATAGCTTGCTATCTCTACCAACCAAAAATCAAGATGAAATCAGCACATGGAAACACAAAGTAATGCTTACTGTACTGTTTGCAGCCAAATGGATTCTGTTTTACATGAGCAAAATCTACATTAATACCTTATTAAACTTACAGGATCAATAGCAAACAATGTTACATGGCACCACCAAAAGTTTAATCCATAGAAAGCCAGGGAAGCAGTGGGTTCAGCATCCCCAGAAGTATTTAAAAGACATGTAGACATGGCAATTAAGGACATAGTTTATAAGGGCAGTTTGGCAGTGCTGGGTTAGGACTCGATGATCTTAAAGGTCCATTCCAACCTGAAAGATTCTATGAGTAGCAAACAACTGATTTTGCCCCTGAAAGTGTTTCTATTGAGCCTGTTCTGTTTCCTTTCTTGAAGACATCAACAAAGAAGTTGCTGAATATTTTCAGTTTCAATGGGACATGGAAGTTTTCAGGAACATTCAGAACATACATATTTTTCTTAGTTATTTATCTTACATATCTTAGGAGTAAATCCTGCTAGTGATGAGACTTACATGCCAAAGGACAAGAAAGAGAAACAACTGCTGAAAACACTTCTAAGATGAGTCATTTCTAGGCTACAGCAGTAATAGAACTGAGATATACGCCTCTTGCTCCTATCACTGCAAATGTAACACAAAAAAGGTAGTGGCAGACAGAGACAGCGTACTGCATGTATCTATCATAAGGCTTTCACTCATTTATTTTGCCATTGCCCCACTTACCTAATACATTCATATGTTTATTGCAGCCAGCCCATGTGTGAAGGAAAAGCATGGCATTGTGGCCAATTTAGTCTTTGCCATGAGTAATGGAAGAAGAGCCTTACCTGAGCTCTTGATGGAGAACAGGTAAAACAACAACAAAATTACTTGAATGACTTGAATTTTCATGCAGAAATCCTTTAAATCTGGGATTTCATAGCATTTCACTAATAACAAATTGCATCCACTAATATTGCCACCAGGTCAGTAAATTGTTATGAAACACCTTCTACCAAAACAACAGGAAAAGAGATTTACTCACACACAGAATGAAATTGGTTCTTTGGTGACAGAATATCTCATCAATACACCACTTACATTTAAGCCTTGCAATGAAAGCATTTAACATCTAAATTAAAGACGAAAAGATAAATATTACTTACTTTTCCTTAAGTTCTTTTAGTGAACTCTCCAAAGATTTGCATTTTATACTCCCAGATCCAGGTGACTTATCCCATTTGTTTTCCTCAGTGTCAGCTTCTTCACCTTTTTCTTTGTGCTTTTCACTGGCCAGTTCATCTCCTTTTTCAGGCTTCTTGAGAAGCTAAGAGATATTTGTTTATATTATGATGCATAATTATTCTCCTCTATTGTACAGACATTTTAACAAGTACTAAATATATCAGTAACCTGCTAAGCTTGGAGATACTTTATTTACATGCTAGGAATGTATTTTACAAAGTATGAAATTCATAGTAATTTTAAAAGGGCAGTTTACATTTGCTAAGGAGTGACAGTCATTAACAGGCATTCAACTGCACACTTTCAAATATGCTGAGAATACTGAAGAAAGCACTTACCTATTTTTCTGCAAGCACTTACCTACTCTTCTCTCCTGAGTTTTAAATATAAAGACATTATTATGGTCTATGGTTTCTTAGAAATCATGTAACAGAGCTCAAGGTAATTGCCCATAAAATAAGAAGCAGAACCGCTACAATACTACAAAGAGAGCAGGATTAATACTTTACTCCTTGAAATATTATATATAAAATGGGTGTCACATGAATCACTTAGGATAGACAGGCATGTAGAAGTAGGTGCTTAGTAAATCCTGACACAAATACAGATGAGGAAAAATGTGATATTAGCAGAAGAGAAGTCATTACATTTTCACCTTGAAGATTAGAATTTTCAAGAAGTCTGCTCCTTTCATAGCAACCTACACAGGGTTTCAGCAGTGTACAGTATTACAGGCATAATCTTCATAAAAGGACCAACTGTCTCAAATTATTACCCTAACATATGAATTCTAGGAAGAATATCTCAGTCTCCATTCCAGCATTTCATTTCTGAAATGAGCACAGGTTATTCTTTTCCAATATTTAAAACTTCTATAATGTTTCTCTCATGTAGTATTTTCCTTTTCTTTCAGAGACAGAAACAGCTTTTAGGGTCATATCACCACAGATATGTCATAAATACTAGGGCTTTTTGGGCAAGCAATTTTAGGTATTATGTTTTAAAGATTAAGTCCCTTCTCTTATGAACTTCTAGAGTATTTTTTTATGCCCAAATATAAAAAACATGTAATTCAGCTTTAGAATTTACTATTTTTACACTTTTAGGTGAAGGAAACTATTTTCCAAGAAGAAATGAGGAATGATGTCCACAATTCTGTGGCTTCTCACCACCACTAAATCTGAGTCAAGTTTGTGTGTTCTTGCTTTATGCTACAGATTCTTATACCAAATTTCCTTTTCAAAACAGCCTATAAAGCCTTTCCAGTAACAGGAAATTTTGTTTACATGAACAGTTTTATCTATGTCATAAGATGGTTTTATATGGTCTGACTTCATAGCACAAGATACACCCTCCTAAGTGATGTCATTACAATCCGTTCAGATTGTTGAAAGGCAGTGCAACCTGAAATTAGCAAGACTTCGCTATAACTTGGATAAAGCATGCAATTAAAATACATCAGTTCTGAGCATAAATGTAAATATGTATCTCTGCACAATGGCCAAATGAAGATTTGCATTATAGCAAGTGTTTCACAGAAACACAGAATCACAGAATGTTCCGAGTTAGAAGAGACCCATAAGGATCATTAAGTCCAGCTCTTAAGTGAATGGACCATATGGGGATCAAACCCACAATAATCTTCCAACAGGCTGGCACAGAACAATTTCTGTCAGATAATGCTAGCATAGAATGCAGCAGAGTTGTATGAAGATATCTGAGCTCCTTGCTGTAATTGCACCAGGACATCACAGTAAGGTAAGGTCATCAGTCACACTTTCAAACAACACTTGGTCAAAGCCCTACACAGCTCTCCCTTCCAGTCAAAACTGGTTTAGTGTCTCCACACTGTGTTACTGTACACTAAATAAATATTGAGATACCAAAGAACTTCTGGATAACTTCAAAAGAAGAATAATTTTTTTTTTTCATTGATCTCAGTTACCTTGATCCTTATTTCTTTTTCAGAAATCTTCTTTTGCTTCTCCACTTCTTTTCTTTTACGTCTTTCTTCTTCTCTGCGCTTCCTTTTCTCTTCCTCCCGCAAACGTTTCTTCTCCAATTCTCTCCGCCTTCGTTCTTCTCTTTTCTCTTCTCGTATTCTCTGAAGAGTTCAATAATGATTAATTGTAAATTGTCCAACAGAAAACCATATGAAACATAAATGTGGAACTTCAGGCAAAAGTCTGAACGTACCTGCTTTTCTAATTTTCTATTTTTAATATATTCCAAAAGGGGTGTTGTTCTTCTAGCTAAAACACAAAAAATTTGTGATATAGTGTTCAACTCCTAAAATGTACTCATTTTTTTACTTTAGTATTAACCCCCTTTTTCTAGCTTTATCTGAAAGGGAGCTAAATCATAGATAAACCTATTTGCTTCATGTATTTTTGAAGGCATTCCCATCACTCTGCTTTAGAAACACTTCATTGCTTTTTTGCTATTAGCATTAGAAGCAACAGAAAGACATTGCACGATTAATTGATGTTTAATTAAAGACCATATCCTCTCAGATCAAGAGAATGGCTTTTCTCTCTTGCTCATTGGTTATTTCACCAAAAAAAGAAAGAAATGTGCTCATAATCAATTCCTACTTTTTACTTTTGTACATGAAAACCTAGCTATATTGTTGTTCATATACAGCCCACATTACTGTAATCTCACATAGCACTTTTCAATCCCAGTTTTCAAAGTACATCATGAAGGAAACATTTTCAATCTCATATAACATTTTCATTTACCTGACATTTAGTGAATACTAATACCTTTCCATGGGAAAACAGGAGGAATAAGAGATAAGCAGTTTGTCCCAGGTTATGTAGCAAAGTATCAGCAGATCTTATAAAAAACTCTGGCTTCCCAAACTGCTAATTAAAGGTCTCATCTACTGGATCACACAGCCATTCTTCTATTACAGAGCTGTCTCCATGCTCTGAAATCAAGTCACCTGCTTGAACCATCCCCAAATTCTACAAAAACTTGGAGAACATCATCAAATTCTTTAACATGTTCCTTATCAAATTCTTTATTCATGACTGTCAGTATTGAACTCAGACTTCAATTCAGCCTGCACTTACAGCTGTGAGTAGTTACAACAAATTGTCAGTTTTAGATGTCCCAGAATAGAAAATGTTTACTACTTGAGATTGCTTTCCAGTTATGTACTGGGATTCACCCACAAACCATAGAAAAAAGTTCCCTATTGAAATGCATGACAAAATTTGAAAGAAAAAAAAAGAAGAAAAAAAAGAAGAAAAACTGAATTAAAAAAGATTTCCACAGATTTTAAATGTCATGGCCAAAAATCTAGACACAATTCATATCCCAAAAACATTTACATCTTTTTGCATTGAAAGTCAGATTATGCTGAGGGCAACCCATTCATTAATAACAAAACTTTATTACACAGTTACGAATAGGATGGCTGATAGGATTCACTGTTTCTTTTTAGCAAATATCAATGGTAGGAACCAACAACCAATGAAGCTTGCTTTGATATTTTCTTCCTTCTATCCCTAGATTTTCCATGCCTCCCCATCCTCCCCACCTGGCCATCATTTTTGACAAATTTTAGGTCCTCAGAGCCCCCTTCCAGTCCCTCTGATGTGAGTTTTGCCTCTCTGTCCTCCTCTCTAAGTTCCCCTGCCTGAGCAGTGGCTGTCTCTGGGCACCTTTACATGCTGAAAGAGATCACAAATTGTAACTAGAAGGTCTGGGGAAAGGATAAGCTGCACTGAGAGTTCAGAACCTAGTCATGACTAAGACTATAGTGCAAGAGGTTTAATGAGAAATTATAACTTGAAGTTCAAGGGAGAGAGGCAGACTGATGAATACTAGCAAAAGAGGGAGAAAAAAACAGTATTATCAAACTTGAATCTTACCCATCTTCTTTATGGGCCTTAGTACAAATACAAACCTAAGAGTATTTTCTTAAAATGTTTAACAATCTTTAAAAGAAAATAAATTACTAAATGAAGAGCTGTGTCAGCAAAACTTTACATTTCATCTTGCTGTCTACACACAAACCAGAAAAAACAGCTTATCTCTTTCATATGTCTCTGTCACACAGAAACTGATCAGCCAATGCATCTGGCATGATGTATAAAACATGTTGGTTTGCAGCAACTTTGCATGGAGAAATGCTGAGCATGTAAGGCTCAATTCTGCCAGCAAAGTCTTGGGCACATCCTTCATTGACATCAGTAGGAGTAACACCTTTGAAACCGGACACACAGCTAAACCCTTACATAAATTTACTATAAACATGCTACCTGCTGAAGAAATCTTTGGTTTTGTATTGATAGCAACGGGTAGAGCTTTGAATGACAGGAAAAAATAAAGCAATTAGTTTGCTTTCCTCTGATTTAACAGAATGAAACACTCAAAGTCTTAATGTAAAGTTGCCTTCAATTAATATTGTTATTCAGAAATCTGCAACTCTCAAGATTAATCATCTTCACATATAGAATATTTTTAAGTTAATAAATCTTCTTGAAATTGTAAGCTATTTGTAAATTGCAATGTTATTAAAATTTTTTACTGTCTTTGTTGTCAGATACCATGGAAGATTTGGGGTAAATAAAAATTATTGGGTGACTTCCCCATCTAAAACAGCAACAAACAAGTTTTATTGATTACAAAGTTATTGAAATGTCCATTTCCATTTCCTCTAAATTATTAGAGTTCCAAATCTCTCCAGTCAACTCTAAAACAGCAGTAACAAGTGACAGGAAAGGGGAAATAGCCTCAAGATGCAACTGAACAGGTTTATATTGAATACTAAGAAAAATTTCTTCACAAAAGACTGTCAAGCACTGTAACTGGCTGCCCAGGGAAATGGTGGAGTCGCTGTCCCTGGAGGTATTTAAAAGACGTACAGTCGTAGCATCTGGGGGCATGCTTTAGAGGTGGACTTGGCACTGTTGGAGTTAATGGTTAGAGCTAATGGTTGTACTTGATGTCCTTGAACAGCAAGTTTCCAACCTAAATGGTTCTGCGATTCTAATCAAAAGAGGTGGCCAGTTTTTCACTGTAAAGAAATTAACAGCAAAGGTCAATTTTTTTTTCCTACTCAAATGTCACACCTAGGGAAACACTGAGTGTTCTGCATGTTATCACTTGAAGATACATCAAAATTCCGTGTCATCCTGAAAACTGCATACTAGCACTGAAGATTTCAGTGCTCACCTTATTTAAAATTCCCCCCAGGACTGTGGAAGTCATGCTGCATGCATACAGAAAACAAGCTAATATCAGGGATCAGTGGTTAAATATTCAGCTATTTTGTATTTTAAAAATAAATCTTCCATCTCCTAATACATCTGAAAGTATTCAGAATTACTAAGGGCCTATTTCTGTATCCAGTGTGTGTACATGCAAAAGTTCAAGTGAAGCCAAGTGATTTCATGCATAGAGACTTAGATTTACTGCTACTACTTGCCTTGAAAGCAAATATTTAACTGTGGTAATATAAATCTGTTAGACTGAACAGGTCAGTTCTTGCAGGCAATATCATAAAGATATAAAAGTAAGATATTGAATATTCTCAATAATAAGAAAAATCAAGAAAACAGACCAATGAGTTCCCTTGTTTTGGCCTCAATCTCTCCCAAAAGAATCTCAGGATTGGCACAGATCTTCTCTTCATCAGCACAATAATTGTCTAAAAATTTCCTATATTCTGGATCTGTGAAGAAAAAATTTTGAATTATGTTAACACTTTGCAATGCATAACAGAAATTTTCCACTTTGATGTCAAGAAAAGATGTTTACCGTCTTCAATGCTCCCAGCTTTGGCATCTTTCTTCTTCAGCTTTTTTTTTGAAATCTTCTGGAATGGAGCAAACTCAACCACTGCAGGATATTCCAAACCTTAAAAGAAATCAATCCTTAATTTTTTGAGGGGGAGAAACATTCCCTATCTTCAAGATTTTCAAAACTCTTGAACACATGTTGGGAAGTCTTATGTGAAAACAAAACTAAATGTTTCTACAATTCACTCCTAAACTTCAAATTAAAAGTTACATGTAGAAGTATTTAAAAAAAAAAATATTATCTTTTATTTGGATATGCTGATAAGACTGTGAAAATGAGGATGACTACTGTTGCAAAATAATTCTTGCATTATTATTTATAGTTCCCTTTTAATTATTCACAGACATTGATTAGAAAAATATATCACAAAATCTCAATCTGACAAGTGATTAAGTACTATTGGGAAATCAATCTGAAACTGTTGAGTTGCTTTTCTAAGGTTTTGTTGCCTAAAAGCCTAAAAAATAAATAAATGCCAGGTAATATGCTGTAAAACAACAAAGCATCTCCTTTCAGAACCACAACTGTAAAACTCAACATGTAGAATTGTGTGAAACTCCTCTGTTTACGACGGACTGTGCAACTCCTGCCTGTGTTTACTGGCAGTGATTCTTTGCTTTGAGTTGTGCCTTAAATGCTGGCTTCTTCTTTGGACTGAAGCCAGAACCATGTGGATTTTGAATTTCACTTGGTTTCCACTTGCAGCAGGTTCAAGATTACACTTTGCTCAAGTTCACAGAAAACTTGTCTTCAGTCTGCTAGAACATTTGTTAACCTTACTGAACTTGCTAATCCTTGTTTCAGTTTTGGCCTCATAATGCAATGCTGCCACAAGCCTCACCAGAGAGCACTTCTGATTGCACCCTGGGCTCTTTAATTGTACAAGCAATCATGTCAAACTAGCCAACTGTGTCCAAGCTCAGTTTTGCAGTGTATTCTGGCTTCAGTCCAGCATAATATTGAAGAATGTGCTGAATTTAGCCAAAGTAAAATCTTAGCAGAATCATAAAAATAACTTCTTTCTAGCTTTTAATTGGAATTTTAAATCTGGGAAATGCTAACTGCTAGGAATGTGTTGTTCTTCATCTCTACAAAAATCATCCAAATCTGAGGGATATTAGAAGCAAATAAAATATCTTAGGTAGGAAATGCTGAAGAGGAATTCATTAATTTGACAGCTTCTTTACAGATCAGTTTCTACTAAGAGTAGGCAGGACTACTTTTCACAGGACCTCTGCAACACTGAGTGTACAGAATAAAAAATGTCTGTACAAGAGAGCCACAAATCTATGTTTATTTTACATAACCTATTCAATTTTTTACAGAAGGTATGTCTGAACGAGGCAAGGAACTGCTAAAGTTCTGCTAAACCACTTGTATTGATGGCAGCTTCATACTCGTGCAGGAGACCTGGATTTATCCACACCAACATTACAGACTTTTTCTTCACTGTTGGGCAAACATTTGTGGACTGAACATTTTAAAACTGGAAATCAATTTTGCCATTCTTGTTCTCAGAACTCAACTCAAGATGTCTGCAAAGGTCCTAAAATTTCAATCTCTACATGTCTTAAATGTGGGCAAGCAAAATATTGAAGGTTTCCTCTTGCTTTTTCAAAACATGAGTAAGTGGCAGAACTTTATCTCAGAAACACTGAAGAAACACATGCTCACAATGTGTTCAGTTACTACTGTAATGAATTGTGAAGCTTGCATAAGGTAATTTTCTTAGTATGATCTTGACAGTGCATTGCCTAAAGCACATAAAACATGCACACCACAGAGAAGCAAGACTGCATGGACAAATATATTTTGCACTTTATTATATTTTAAGTGATAAATGTTAATGTATTTTTATGTAATTAACTGCACAGTGAGGAAATAATGGCATAACTAGCAAAAAGGAAGCAAATTGATGCTCTAAAATGGTATATGTCCACATACACATTTAATATCTTACAAGTAATCCAACCTTTATTATCAATGAAGACATAGCCATCAAAGCGATCTCTAAAAAGAAGGATGTCCTCGGGATTTCTAAAGTTAATGTATGCTCTTGAGTAGAGATGAGGATAAAGGCTGCAACAAGAAACAATTTCATTTTCTGTTACTTATTATTCTTTTCAGGGCTAGGGAAAACATAAAACCAGAAGGATCATATTATAATCCTCATATTTGAGAAACTGCTACCTTAAGCAGCCTTTCTTTATTTTAGACATTTACATATCTAATTATATATATATCTGACAAAAAGTAACAGAACATCAGAGTTCTCTATGCAACTGTGAAATTTATTCTGAACTGACACAAATATTTCCAGTTTATTTTGCCCCCCTAAATTGCAGAGCATACATTTCCAGTTGTGCAGGATCAAAACTTTAATATTTCCCAATTCAAGAGATATGAGTAATAGCAGTGCTTTAGAGGAACTTCTCAGGCGTACTATGAAAAGTCTTGTGCCACTGAAACAGAAAAGGTTAAGTAAAAGACTGCAGTGAAGGGAAGCTTCCAGATTGTCACTGTATTTAAATAGATTTCTATCTTTAAGAAAGAATAAAAAACCTAAGAGTTGACAATATAATCCATTGAATTATACACAAATAAATAAACTCCATTGGACATTCATGTGTTATCAATGTACACGCAATGTCTAGTTGTGACCAACAGATGCTGTGAAAATCTAAAGGATTTCTAGCAAAAGAAACAGGTACTTAAAATAATTCTGATTCTTCAAGAATTCTTTGGCATAGATCCCACTCCATGGGAAAATGTTTAATGTGCCTGATAAAAACCTCAGGGCTGGCACACCACAACCATGATGAAACTGATTTAATGAATTGTAACCCATCAACTACGTTATTCTGAGCCATGGTATGTACATGCTTTAAACTCCTGCAACTGTTAATATATAAGTCAATTTGTCTTAAACTGACTTAATGAGGACTACATATTACATCAAGTTTTTGAACAAATTTTAACACATGCCCATATCTTTAAAATACTTATGTTCATAATTTCATTGTCACCAATGGCCTGTCTTCAAACCAACTCACCACTGGCACCAGGAGACAATAAATACACGCAGCTACAATTGCATTTCAATCCCACACCTCCTTCAAAATCAGATTTCACAATGAGTGAGAAAAAGCAAAAATATGGATTGGATCACAGGATCCATGCACGTGGCAACTCAAAGCAACACTACTCCCAAGTAACCTTTTCTGTTTAAAATATGCATCCATATGGATTCCACTTTCATTGTTATAACATAAAGAGCAGTGCTGTCAATCACCAATGGTTTTATGCACCCACCAATTTTGTGTTTGATCAGGTAGCCAGAAGAAAAAACAAAACCAAAACAACCTAGAGGGCTTTTTTCACTTAGATGCTTTGCAAATACCACCTATGAAGTGTTTCTACAGCTTGAAGAGGACAAACTATTTCCAAGGAAGAGAGGAAGACACATTTTATACCCATATATACCCAGTATATTTTGACATTCTAAGATGGGAAGAGCATTACATAAACTCTAAGTGGGTAACTGCAAAAATGCCTGCTAGGGCATGGCCAGGGTAGAAAGATGCTATAGCATGGTTGTAGCTACCACCAGGATGCAAAGCAGATATAAAAAGACATATTCTACTCATCCATTTCAAAGAAGACAAAATTTAACACTTTTCATAATTACACTGAGTTAAAAACTGTATTTTAAATGTGTAAGTAAAGGAGGGAATTTTATTTTTGCAATCTAAAGCTGTACTGGAACCAATGTCTCTATGCTGCCTAATGGCTACAGCAGTAAAAATAGTCTCAGATAACTGAGGCTCCCATGAAGAAGGAAACTGCCTTCTCTTTCATTATCAACAGCACTGTTCTTATGTTTCATGTGCTTTGAGGTTTAAATTAAATGAGGCCTGACATTAGACTGATATGATTGTACACTTGAAGTGCTAAACATTCATCAAACAAAACCAGGCATCTCAAGGGAGCACTGTTTTTTATTCCAATTATTATTCCCTGAGATTGAGGAACTGAGTTTTAGTCCCAAGTCTAAACAGCTACTTCACTGTTCTTTCCATCTTCAGCTTTTGTAAAATATTAAAACTTTCTGTAGATTAAAGACTGCTAATTCGACAAGGGTCCATTCCTACATTACTGTGGGTGCCTCAGGGCACAGCAAGCAGTTCATCATACAGTTGGATTTTATTTTTCCTGTAGGAACTTAGAACCTTATGGTCGGACATAATGTGAAACAGAACTGAAAATACAAAGGCTTGCTCCTTCCTTGTTTCCTTTAGCTGGTATATCAATGCCATCTCTTTCACCTGCTTTGGCAACATAATCTTTTCCTGGTACACAACATAATATTTCTCTAGTTTTTTCAGCTTAAACAGAGTATCTTTCAAACTGAGGAACATTTGATATGGTTATTAAACACTTATTAGTAAGAAAGAACTGAGTCTGTATAAACAGGACTCAGGAAAACAGATTTAGAATTCACCATGCAAGTAAGGGATCTAGTGTTGCTGCTATACATTATTAACATCTTCAAGAACTTCACAGGCATCAGCAGAAATATACAATATAGAAGCATGGTTGAGCACAGCAGGCTATTGATGAGCAGCACAATGACACAGCACTGTCTGTCCATTACTGTTGCTATGTGTCAGGGTAGAAGGCTGCACAAACAGAGCTGTGACAATACTTAGCCGCTGCAAGTTCCTTCTCTGATGGAGCCATCTCTACAGAAGAGTTGGTTCTCATATGCCTGAGTTAACTATCAGTGTGCTTAGTGCATAAAGCTCACCCAAGTGTTTCAAACCCTTGTCTTAGGCTTCTCACCCAGCAAAGTGTGCAGTATGCCTAAAAAAGTGAGTAAGATTAACATTCTAGGTGGGAAGCAAACTAAACCTCGCTAATTTGAAATACTTAGCACTGGCTTGCATATGTATCACTTTTATTCTAGGTTTCACACAGCTGACTTCCAGCAGCTACTCCCTACCCTGGATTATGTCTTGACCTATCCAGCATGGTCATGCAGGAAAGAATGCACAGGGCTTCATTGGGCTAAAGGCACTCTGAGGCCAACAACCCCTCCTAGGAAGAAGCACTCTTGCTTGACTTTTGTACTTAGTATTTAGCAGTTACTGGCTAAAATACTTTACTCCTCAGGATTTCGTCTTCCAGCTGAGTCTTACAGAAGGGCCAGTGAACTCTGTGTCTCCCTTTTTTGAGTATCTACCACCACAGATTTCATTCAGGATCTGAAATTCAGTTTTATCATCAGAGAGCTGGTTCCATTTTGCCATATGTTTGCTGTCTATAATGCTGCTTTTCCACACACAGTGTTTTGGACAGATGCACTGCACATGTCGACACTTGGAGCAATCTCTATGGAAAAAACCCAGACGAGTCTGAGTATACACATTTATTCATTCCAACACACTGTTTCTTTTGTTTTTTTCTGCTCTGCATTCAAGGGTATTCAATCTTCCAGGGTGCACTTATTCCTGTAGTCTATCATTTCCAAGTTCTTATTTTTCTAGCAACTTAAATAACAAACACATTCTAAATGTTTACTTCTTCTATGAAGTATCTTTCAACAAAACTGTATAAAAAGATTGATATACGGGAATGCAATTTTGAATAGCTATTCACAGTCTAAACAGGAACATATAAACTATAAAAACAGCAATCTCATCTTAGTAAAATACTTATCAACTAATGAACCATGGTGGGAATTTATAAAATATGTACTTACATGTATATAGAGCTCTACAACTAAATTTTGGAGTCAAATAACTGCTCCACCCATTCATACAGTAATTGATAACTCATCATCGACATTGTCAAGCTAAAATCCCCTGGCCTTCATCCTTGTCATCTTCTGCGGTCATTCACATAATGGGTGGAACTGGCACAATTTCAAATAAATTAAGTCTTTCCTTTTTACAGCTATAAATGAGGAGTTTGCCTGGCAGAGAAAGCAGAAACACTAGAGTTGTGTCAATCAAAGCCTGTCAATGATTTCACCCAGAACACAGTAATGGTTCGCTTGAAGCACTAAAGGCGCTGCCCCTTCAGGGCTGCAGTTCCTGGGTGCAATGCTATATCCTATAAAATGATGTTTATCTACAATAATCCTGAGCACAACATTGGGAAGAAGTTACAGAGGGAAGAGGAGGAGTGCTCTTTGGAAGAGCTTTATCACTGTCTGTGATACATGGCATGGCACTGACTATTTAAACTGTTTTCATGCGAGCAAAGCTTGTGTTCACATTCCTTTCATAACTTCACAACACTATCAACAATTCCTGGCACTCAGCACCAGTCCAGAGAGATGACCCAAAACCCTGAAAGGCCAGAGATCAATCACTTGACTAGTCGTTAGTCACATCTTTAGAATAGGCTCAGAAACCTTTACAAGCAGACAAAAAAGAAACTGTATCTGGAAAAAATAGTTAATATTTGAAGTCTGAGTACACAACAGTCTGTCAATAAGGCAGAGTTTTTATTATCATCTATAAACAGTATTTTGTTTGCATTTTGATGTCAATATTCAAGAGAAAATAAATGTAATGCAGTGAATCAGATGAATCTGAAAAATGAAGAAAGCACAAGTCACTTTCTGAAATTATTTTACTGAAATGGATGTAACTGAAAAACTGAGAATGACATTAATTACATGAAATTTGAAAAAGTTTCATAGCTTGCCTATAATAGGACATTGTAGACTTAAAGATAACACTTAGAAGAATATTATAAAGATTACAAAAAAAGAGAAACTGGAGTTGATATGCATCTTTTTTTTTGTTTTGTCCTCTAGAATGAATTATCTTGGAAATAAAGATGTAGAAACAGCTAGTTAGACCTCTCTAGTGCCCTTAACAACAACAGCTAACAGAGAATGCCAAGATAACGTTTATTAAAAAGAGAAAAATGTACCAATACTTCACCCAGTTCATAACTGCAATATCTGCAGCCTAGGAACTTCATAATACCAAATTTGTTGTGTTCAATAGGTTTTCATAGATAAATATTTGTCTAAATAAGTATTTGTCTAACTGTTCCTTACCCATTCTAACATCCATCAATCATGACAGGAATTTCTTGTAAGTTCTAAAATCTGAATGAGCTTAAACTTGTGATGTAGTTACACAGGATGTGGTTAAACTGAGATGTTACAGCTCTTAAGGAAACTTGTCTGCTTCTCCATCAAAGCATCTCTATGCCTCTTTCCCTTTCCAACAAACAGATCCTCTTCACTGAGTAGCTTCAACTCCTTCTCATTGGGTGATGTGACATTCCTTTTCATCTTCACCTGTTTTTGTTATCACTAAATTCTCTGGACTGCTTGCCCCTATGGACATGGTACAGGATCTAGAAAAAATCTATTCAGTGAAAGACAGAGAAAACATGCCCACCTTGTCCTGTAGCTTTTCCTGTTAGCTGGAATGACACGAAGACACATGCACATAGTTTGCTGAAATCTCATGAACTGTCCATAACATGACAGACTATGGCAATATAATGCTTTATACTCAAAAAGTGCTCTCTGCTGGGTAAGTGAAGACTGAGATTAACCTTGATTAACTTGATAACTTTTACTTTCTGAAAGTTTATTTTATATTCCTGAGTGGGTAATATAAAGAGATGACTCATAAAAAGATATACATGGGTACATGTAAGCATTTGAACAAAGGGGACGAAAGAGGCAAGGTGATCTTGAGCCAGTCAAAAGACAAATTATCAGCCAAGCCAACACTGCAGAATGGCAGTGAAATGCCCATGTACACTGTGTAGTTTGCTGGAAGAAGGTGTAGCCATACAAACCTGTTAAAGATAAACCCACTTTGAAAAAATACAGCTCTTGTCTGAAAACACATTTTTTGAAAAGCAGGATAAAGAAAAAAGGAGCGAGTACAAAACATTTCATGCTGAAAAATTCAAACTTAAATGAATTTTTTTTAACTGAGTTTAGATTTGTGAAAGCAGAAGAGAATAGCATGACAAATAACAGTGTGAGAGAAAAAAACAGTATCTTTCACTGGCAACACGTCACAGATGCAATTAAATGAATGAAAAGCAAGATTTTTGGGTAATCCAAATTTCATCACTTCTTTCATAGAAGAGGAAATGGAACTTGATATATGCAACTGTTGTCAGTGCTTTCTCTTTTCTAAAGAGGCCAACTCCCTAAATTCTTACGCAAACTTTTCTGGAAAATTAAAGTTGGAATTTTTTAAGCTGTTAATTGGCATTTGTGCATCTAAGCACAGTCAGAACTGACACTGGTCTTCAGGGAATTTTTGGTTTGCCTTTGGTATTTTCCCCTTATCAAATGAACAGCTGGGACAGAAACCTTAAAGAGGCCCATTTGGAAACAGAGATGAGAGAGTTCAGAAGAGCAATGTAAGGTACTACAAAGAATTCCAATCATAGTATGTTCTCATCTTTCCTCCCTTCATATCCTTTGCGGTTTTAACAAATAAGCTGAAGCACCTACTATTCAGTTGCTGCACTTATATGCCACTACCTAAGTCAGAAACTGTCATCATTTCTCTAAATAAACATTTATTTCTTCTTGACTGTGAAACTGACTCTGAAAGAAGCCCTAACTTCAGAATTTGGCCCACAATAAAGAGCCGAGATCTTTCTGTAGTCAGTGGAAAGAATCTTGAGTCAGTGGAGGGGTGATTCATCACACACTAAGATATGACAAGATGGATCTCATACTTCAGTTTTTCAGAACACATGAAGATTGAGCATACATGGTGTTTTGTTTCTTTTCTGGAAACTGATTTATTCAAAAGGGAATTGCATTTTACAACTGTGATACTGAGTAAATTATATAACTACACCAGCAATTCTGATTTAATTTAAATCAACCAGTATTTCTTCTTTTTCACTTTTGCACGAGACAAAAATAAATAAAAGTAAATTTTAAAAAAATTTCTATGAAACACAAAAAAACTCATGCAGGTAAAGAAAGTAACTCAAATGGAACTTCTGAAAACATTCTGTGATTGTTTATCCCAGACTGAATTTTGCTCACAGCAAATTAAGCAGGCTGTTACAACTTACCAATGACGGTAAAAGAAACATCAGGGTTTCAAACTACTTTATGCCCTATTCATATAAAAAAAAAACCAACTGTTTTAAAATCTCAGGTGTAAAGGAAAAGGGCAGGAATGCTATTGTCTCTGCATATACAGCCATCTTTCAGAAATATTTTTGAAGTAGACTGAACTTTTAAGGGACAATGACTCAAAACATTCCTCCTTTGTGGAGATGCCAGGGTGCTTGGTTGAGATGGAGCAGGTGAACTTTTATGTGTGTAATGGCTGAACTTCTGATCTGATAAGGCACAGGGTGAATGATGAGTTCAGGCTGTGAGTGAGATAGGAAGTGGATCTTGTGGAGAGGACTGTGCTCTTTGTCATGCTAAGTTGTGCCTCCTTGCACAAACCCCTGGGTTGTGGGGCTCCCTATTCTTCCCCCTTCTCCTGAGAAATGCCAGGGAATTCATGTGTGACCTGAGCATGTTCATCTCTGCTGATGGGACATAATGGGGCACAACTGACTCAAATGGGCTGCTAGGATGGGCAGCAGTGTTCACCTGAAGGCACCTCTGATCCACATTTTTACATTGAGTTCCCTGCTCCTGAGGAGGTACCTGGTTTATATTCACCTGAGCCTAAGTGAATATAGACCAAAGAGATGGTATGTTCCATCTTCTCCCCACCACTCATTCAGGACTTCCTCCCCACTCCTCCTGCCAGATCTGGATCCAAGACTGCACAGCAACCAAGTTTTATTGCAGAACCTATGGGTGGTGAGATCCCTCACACTCTTGTACTCTGTTTTTCTTTCTTTTCTCTTTCCTTTCATTTTTCCGTTCCTTTCCTTTCCTTTCCCCTTGTGTGTGTCCTTGTGTAATGTTGTTGCACTTTTATACTGCAACGCTTTCATGTTGTACTTCTATAGGTAATAACCACCAAAACAGCTCCATACCTGTTTTCCTTTGCAGCCACATTGTTCTATAATCAACCCTACATTGTTTATTTACAAATAGTGATCATTCAGCATTGTTTCACACTAATGTGTTCCCAGGGATCTAGTAACAAGAACCTGGGTTATACCCACCTTCTGAGGCAGGCCATAACAGTAACTCAACAAAAATAATAAGAAGAGGAAAAACATGTGATTTGGAATGTCCCAAATACCTTGTTTAGGTTTTCAGCACTTGAAAACCTACAGAAACAGTTCATCCTCACCTGGGATCAGCAGTGCAAAACTCAAAATAATCATGGGCAGGTAGAGGATGCAGCTGCTCCTCCAGTTGCTCCTTGGTTAGACAAGGAGGAAGCCTTCGAATAACCACCTGCATATATTAAAAAAAAAAAATGGAGATTTATATTTGATCTAAATACTGTAGAAACAGATGGCATAAATTCCCAGATTCAGTTTCTGCAATTGTTTTAAAATTGTAGGATAAGTGACATATTCTGATGAACAGCCTGAGAACCATTGCAATTTAATCATCAATAACATAAAAAATAGATACTGATTACACAAAAATTTTAAAGTATCTCTAAAAACTGATTCAAACTAGCTTTTAAGTCTTGTTTCAGCAGTATTTTAGTGTAACAAGTCTCTGCGTCCAGTTGCTCTTGCCAGGGGTTTCAGGGTAGCCTCTGAGAGGATGCTGGGGCTGCCCAGTGTTAAGTGCAGCAAACTCCAGTGGATCCACCCCAGGGCACAGCTGAGCCCTTTAAGCCAAGACAGTGGTGACTCTGGGAAAGGTACTTTAGAATGGACAGGAAAGGCAGCACAGCAGTGGGTGAGACAGAGGAGTAAGGGCGGCAAAAAAATGTCAAAGACACCGGCCTACAGACAAAAAGGAAAGGAGAAGGAGGGGAGGAAGTCCTCCAAGTGCCAAAGCAGAGTCCCTTGAAAGAGATCATGGTGAGGGGCACACTGTTCCCCCATATGCCATGAAGAACTACAGTGGAGCAGACATCAACCTGCAGATAATGGAGGACCCCATGACACAGCAAGTGGAGATGCCCTGAAGGGTCCTACAGCCTGTGCAGAGGAGTCCACACTGGGTCAGGTTTATCCTGAAGGCCTACAGCCCATGAAGGAGACTCATGCTGAAGCAGGTCATGAACAACTACAGCACGTGGGAAGGACACTTCTGCAGCACTTCATGAAGGACTCTATCCTGTTGTGTCTCTTGTCAGGTCCCCCATGCCGGAGAGGGGAAGGGTGTGAGGAAGAAGGAGCAGCAGAGAGGAACTGTTACGTCCTGTCTGCAACTCCCATTCCTCACCCTTCTGCAGTGCTTCCAGGTAGAGGAGGTTGAGCCTGGGAAGGAAGAGGGGAGGTGGAAAGGTTTTTTAGTTGCAATCTTTCTTTCTCAACAGTCTTCTTTAATTTTTAATTAGCCATGAAGTAAATAAATTCTATCCATGTTAGAAACATACCATATCCTGAGTTAGAAGGGACCCACAAGGAGCATTGAAGTCCTGCTCCTGGCCCTGCCCCAAGAATCACACCCTGTGCCTGAGAGCATTGGCCAAATACTTAGTGCCAGGCTTAGTGCTGACCATTTTCCCAGGGAACCTGTTCCAGTGCTGAACTGCCCTCTGGGTGAAGAACCTTTTTCTATATGCAACCTAAACCTCCCCAGATGCATTTTCATGCCATTCCTTTGCATCCTATCACTGGCCACCAGAGAGAAAGCATCACTGCCTGCCACTCAATCTTCCTTCGTGAGAAAGCTGTAAGAAGCTGCTATGAGGTCCTTCCTCAGCTGTGTCAGTTTTTCCTGTGATGACACTTTGTTTTTTCCATCATACCTTATTCCTGGGTCTTGCTGAGGGAGGAGTGCATGAGCACCTGGCTGGAGGTCAGCTACCCAGAGTCAATCCACCACACCCAGCTGAACTACCCAATAATAAAGGCCAGGAAGCTGTAGAAACAACTCTGGCTGAATGATGCCAGCACACAAAGCAGTAAAATGGCCATCAAGCTTTAGGCAATCTGTTTTAATTTCTGAGTAGTCTAATATCTGAATTTAACTTTACTGAGCTCTGAGTTACAGCAATTTTCAGTGATTCAGCTTTCCAAGTAAAAAAACCCCGTGAATAAATCAAATCTCACAGTACTCAAGGACTCACAGAATTGTCAGGGTTGGAAGTGATCTCTGGTCCAACCCCCCTGCCAAGGCAGTGTCACCTAGAGCAGGTGTCACAGGGACACGTCCAGGTGGGTTCTGAACATCTCCAGCCAGGCAGACACCGTGAAATCCCTGCACAACCTGCTACAGTCGGCAAGTATTATTTGAAAAGTGCTCGAATAAAGACGGATTAGAGAGATGTGCTCTTGCCCTTGACAGAAGGTGCTTAGCCACAGCAATAGCCATCCTCGACTTCACAATTAAAGGTGAAATGACTTCCAGCGCTGACGCTGGGGGTCTCCCAATACTCCAGGGAATGAACACCCTCATTCTGCAGATGAAGAAATACCCGTTATAAAAACACGAAGCTCCCGAGATCAGGCTCGGTCTGTCTCCTCACTGCAGCCTCCCTCCCATTCTCTTCTCATCTCCCACCAGAGCCGCCCCCGCCCCGATCCCCGCGCCCCCTCACTTTGCTCAGAGCCGTTTTCTTCTCCTCCCGCTGTTTCCCCGGCGCCGGGTGAAGCGGCGGCGGCGGCGGCAGCGGGGAAGGCGGGGAAGGCGGCGGCGGCTGTTTCGGCGGAGCGTCCGTGTCGCGGCGCGGCGACTCCTCCGGCAGCGGGGCGTCCATGGGCCCCGGCCCGGCCCGGCCCCAGCCCTGCCTCCCGCTCCGAGCGCATGCAGCCGCCGCGCCCGCAGCCGGGCGGAAACCTCGCGAGAACGGCCGCAGGGCCGGCGGGATCTCGCGAGGCTCCCCGCGCCAGCCCTTCCGAGGAGCGGCGGCGGCGGCTCCGTCCCGGCCCTCGTCCGTCGTGGAACTGCGCAGGGCTCCCACCGTGCCGTGCGAGGAGAAGACACTGAAAAGTGCCCATTTCCCTCCTCTCACGGTCTCGCCATAAGCTCGCGGGTGCCTTGGCACCCCGGCCTCAGAGCGGCTCGTAGGGCGGGAAGGGCACAGACACCGCGGGGGCTGTGTTATTTACAGTCTTCGGATGCAGGGTCTGAAGAGTATTCTGGGAAGAATGTAGTGGGCAAAAAGAAAAAAGACGTTACTTGGGTGAGGCCAGGACTTCTATGCCTGCAGGGAGGTTCTGTGATAATTAAGAAACAGTGCCTGCACTTCGGCAATGCGCCCCAGCCCCTGAGGCCACGCAGCAGGCAGGAGCTCTTCCAAACGATGCCTCCGGGCCTTTCTGCCTGGCTTCGTCAGGAACTGTGGTGATGATAGGCCAAGGGAGAGTGGGTACAAACTGAGAGAGGGGAAATTTAGGCTAGATGTTAGCAAGAAACTTACTGTGAGGATGGTGAGGCACTGGAATGGGTTGCCCAGGGAGATTGTGGATGCCCATCGCTGGCACTGGTCAAAGCCGTGTTGGACAGGGCCTGAAGGAACCTGGCAGGAAGGTGTCCCTGCCCATGGCAGCAGGGCTGGGACTACAGGATCTTTAAGGTCCTTTCCAACCCACACCATTCTATGATTTCATGATTGATTATTCTAAGTACTGACCCATCAATCAGATCTTTTTAGTCCTAGATAGCAATAAACGAATTTTGCAATACCTAGATCCAAAAAGTTTTTAAAATTCCTGTGTGAGTTGAAATATCTTGGACTACATCTAGAACTGGTGGCAGAGGTACAGCAAGCTCCAAAGCAAGGACATGTCACACATTTAAGGACAGACTTGACTGGAGCTATGAAAACTAGACAGAAGGAGCAGAAGTACCTGCCATTTAATCAGAATACACAACGTCATTGCAAATCTTCAGATCCTGCTGCATTGATAGTCCTCAAACAGCTGTCCACAGCATGAAGGAAATACATGATCTGATGTGGAATAATAAAAGTATGTGGCATTGGCTGAGAAAACTGAAATCACAGAATATTCTGAGTTGGAAGGCACCCACAAGGACCATCAAGTCAACTCTTAAGTGAATGGCCTACATGGGGTATAAGCTTGTAACACTGACATTTGTTAGCACCAGGCTCTGATCAGTTGAGCTAACATGTTACTAATTTTCAAATCTTTTAGGCAGCAGCACCAATGATGAAACTTTTGGAGCCATTCGCAGTACAAATATATTGTGGGTTTTCATATCTGTTATGAGAACCCTTAAGATAACAGTCAGATCTCCCCACTCTGGGGGGAGGAATGACAAAATTTGCCTCTGGGACAAAACTAATCTTTGGAAGAGTAAGATGAAGTTATGAGACAGAGTAAAAATGTCTCTTTTGGGGGCATATTTATAAGCCACCCAACCTGACAGTCCTGGACCCTTGTACCCAGCTGCCAAAGCCAAGCGAGGCAATGGCAATGGCTTGCAGCAGGAATCAAGAATCTGAGGTCAAGTCAGGCTGGAACTAATAATCAAAGTCCTCATGAAGACAAGGAAAATACTCAATTTAACTAGAGCCAGGATGAATGTCATCATAACCCAGAAAGGCACCAACCACTATCTAGGAAGAGCAGGACTGGAGCAGGACAGGTGATGGGAGGTGCAGAAGACCAGGGCAAGGAGGTGCTGCCTGTACAAAGGCAAGGATTAAGACAGAACAAGAGCCGGTCAAAACATTTTACAGAAGATAAATGAGGAGAGAAAAGCTTTTCCTAAAGTCCTGTCTGAGACATACATCATGAACCAGTTCACAAGTTCTAACCCAACTGTAGCTGCCTAAAAGGCTTGGAGCCAAGCCAAGCCATATTAAGAATTCCTCTGACACCCAAAAGAGTCCTTCACAATCTAGGACACTTTGCATACATTTCTTTCTAGGAAATTTTTAATACCAATAAACAAAGGTTAGCAATAGCCAGCCAAAAAATCTCCAACAGATACCTGCCAAGGCACAGTGTCATGATAGGCTGCCATTACAGCAGTGCCCATTCTTGCTATTCCATCTGTTTCCTCCCACTCCAACCATTTTGCCCCACTGATGACAAGTAACATAGCAGTGGCTTGCTCTCCTTGAACCTGAGAATTGATCAGATCTAGAAACTATTTATGCTGTTCCAGTTCCTTGCTTTTGTTTACAATGTTACATAAGGATTTGTAATACCATGGCTGAGAAAGTAGAACAGTAGATTCCTACAGGCAGGAATAACACAAACCAGCGTTGCCATCACAGCCGACACAGCATCAGATTGTAACTGGGGAGTGCAGGAGGAAAGATGAACTTTTATCAATATTTAAAACCATTTTGCCAATGAAAAAAATTAGTAACAGAGGAAAACAATGCAAGATTTATATCCATCTGACAGTGGTCAAAAGGCCTGATTCTCTAGAAGACTGTTTTGCTGCCTTCCATTTAGAAACTGCCATGATGTCTTACTAGAAAACTAGATTTACATATGCTGGATTAAAAATTAATGATATAAAGAAAAAGGAGCTTGGTTCCTTGAGAATCTTTGAGAATCTATTTGCAATATCCTGTGTGCAGCAACAAGCCTTTGCTGTCATATTATCCATGAGATAGTCTTCGTTACAATCATTCCAGATACATAAGCACAGATGTAAAAATAACTATCAAAAGATCCTTTAAAGGAAGAGACCTGCCTAATAGAGTAGCTGTTGAGACACTCATCATAGATTCTTCCAGAGTGCCCAGGAAAAATCCCCAGTTTACTTCAAAGAAGTCACCTGCACCACACCCCAGTTACCAGTTTCCAAAAGAGAAGAAAGCCCTTTGTATGAACTGTTTTTGCCAGCCACACTGAAGAAGAGAGACCTGACTCTGCCCAGGAGATGCATATGCTTCCTAAATGATTAATTTTTCCAACACTCTGCTTGGATACTTTTTCACTTAAGACTCATGGCTCATACTATGTTTTTCAGGAGAATGTGTAACTTTGGGTGAATTGTTTTAGGACTAGGAAGTAAAACATTTTTATTCCCCTTATTTTTTCATGTTTAAAAATATATGGGATTGTTCTTTAATTCTGCACTCAACGCAAAGTCCAATCCATATTTTCTAACATATGGAAGGGAAATTTGGGCATCTCCAGTTCCCTTTGTGGAGCCACAGCACAATTCCCATTGTCACTGTGACAGGACCAGACTTCACTACTGTGCTGGTCCTCACAAGAAAGCAATAGGATCACCTGGACCCAACAGATTTCCACAGTGAGAGTGTGTGCAATTGCTGATAAAATACAGACTCCTCCCCAAGCTTTTCCTCTCTTGATACCCTTGAATTCCAAAGTGCAGTTGTGTCTAAAACTTGAATTGATGTTCAGTAATGCACAGACATGTGCAAAATACTCTGGATTCAAGCTATGTATATGGCCTGTATCAATGCAATAAGGTCTTCTTGATTCAGATGGGGATTCATGAGAGTGCTATCAGGAAAGGAATATTTATAAAGTAGGAACTACAAAACTCCCAGTGTTAAGTACATAGTAGTTTGAATTCATATAAAAAATAGCAATTTCATGAAAGTACAACACCATAACAAAAATGCTAAAACAAACATACTACACTTAGACAAAATGAGCTCTCTACCAGTATTTATGGTCACGTACTGTGGTCTGACATTGATGTTTCTAACATCATATCACTTTCATTCATTTCAATCTCAAATGTTTCTTCCAATGGGCGACTGGTATCTGTACTTTTCCTTTGATTTGATGTCTCTAATGTTACTATGCCACTTTCATCCAGAGTTTGTCTTTCTATGTCGAATTCTCTGAAATCCCAGGGAGGTGAAATTATGTTCTTTAAAGTCTTCACTGTGTGTACATCGAAGTCATAACATCTTAATTTGTCTTTGATCTCTGTTCCTAGGAAAACAGACAAACAATTCGTTCATTTCAAATTAATACTCTCTAAACTGTAATCTCAAAGAAACTATCATTCAGCAACTACTGTAATTCTCTGCTTTCAGACCATCAAGGAGCTGCTGCTGCTTAATGACTGAAGCTAAATAAGTTCTGAAAAAATCCAGCAGCCTCCTTTCTCAAAAAAGCACAATACAAGAAGCACAATTCAGACTCAAAAAGTCTGTTTTGAGAAGTAATTGCCAATTCCCTTCCCAATTCTCCAAAGGGCTTTTTTTCTTGTTTAAGTTACACACAGCTTGGTTTGCATTAATGCATATCGCATGGCTGCACAGTTCTTCCAGATGTGTTAAATGACAACATATGGAGCAAGACAATATTGAGAAGAAACATCTGTTTCAATTGTGTGAAAAATCTGCAGGAAAAGCTCTAGAGCACATGGATGACTTTTACTTTTAATGCTTCAGCCTTCTTAACATCTTTGACAGGACATCAACTGTGTTCATTACAGATAAATCATTAAGTTCAATGAAGCATAAACTTATAAAAAAATATATTTTTTTTTCAGAGAAAAAACTTTCATAGAAAATTTAAACCTACGGCAATATAATGTATTACTGTTATGAAGTACCTTTTTTACCATATATAAAGGTGTATTTTTGGAGTCAGAAGAACCTATCCTGTCTCCACAGAGACAACTTCTGACAAGGTGAAAATACCTTACTCTACAACAGCATTAGCATTAGCTCTGATTTCCTAACTCCATACCCCTGTTTATTTTTTCCCCATTCCCTTTGCAATCTAAGATGCCACAAATCAGTATTTTCTATAAAATAAACCATTAACACCTTTAATGAGAAAGCGTTTCCTTTCTTTATGCTGATGAGAGTTTACTGTCATGATGCTCACAAAAACCAGTGGTCATCTGCAATTGCTGCTAAGTTCTTACTCAGACATTAAAAAAACCAAACAAAAACATCCTCTACTTTGTGAGTTAATTAGGTAGTGGTAGGCAGTCCTTTTTGACATAAGAATAACACTCCTCTCAAAGGACTCAATGACTTAAGAGACACATAAGTTAGATATTTACCAATATAGGCTTCAGAATCACCAATGTACATTTCTATGCAGTGTCCAAGCATTGTGACTGAAAATGTGTCATCCCGTCTGAGACCAAGGGCCTATTAAAAAAAACCAAAAAAAACCAAAACAGTAGAAAATATTTAGCAGCAAATAAAAACATTTACATCTTAAGTCTGCAATGGTTCAGTTTATTGGTTTGTTGTTCCACAATGTTATCTGAGCGTAGTCTTCACTGCAAAACATTGCACAACCAAAATAACACCATCATATGAACTGGCTGAAGTAGTAAGCAAGGAAAGTATGAAAACCAAACCAGAAAAGAACATATATACAGACAGGAAATAATTTACATATCATGAGATATAACATATGCTGCTGTTTACTTACTGTAAAATGTCTAGGTTGGAAGTAGTTAAAATTATTTCAGGTGCATGAGAAGCTTATGTACATAAAATGTAAATTGCAATTCAAAGTTTGCCAAAGAGGCCATTTTTTACCTAATCAATGAAGTATAGAAGATTTAAGGAAAAAAAAAATAGGATTATAAAATAAGCACTTACTTGGAGGCTGGAAAAAAGGCTGCTCTAAACCCAAACCAGAGTGAAACAGTAAACAACAGAATCTATGACTAGCCCTTCAGCTGAAGCCAGTTACATACCGTGTGGAAATAGTCAATGGCGCTTTCAAAATTGCCCATGAGGCTGTGTATGTAGCCAATGGCAGAGTAAGTAGAAGCATTCTGAGGGATTAATACCAAAGCCTGGCGATGGTATTCCAGTGCTTCTTCATACTTCCTGTTAGGGTTAAGTGCAGGAGATCTATTAGTAAGTTTCATGGTGAAAGGTGTTTTTACAATACCCTGTGGGTATTTTCCTTAGCAAAGTGGAACACAATTGCACCAGAACTTTAAAATTATTGCTTCACACTCTGAACATAATAATAGAATTTACAAAAGACTCATGAATATCAGCAATTTTCTTCTTCAGTATAATTGAGAAATCACTATTCTCCTTATGTAGCAAAACAGCCTAGCCTACAGCTAGGTCCCATTTAGAGATCTTAGCTATTTGATATGGTAAATTGCTTTAGATGTTTAATGGTGTTCATTGTAGCACAGGCTTTCTTTCTGTAGCTTTCATTTGTCTTCCTGAGGGAGAGAAGTAGCAATACAAGACTAAATCACACATGATTCAAACTGAGAAAAGCTCTCTGGGTAGAAATCTCACAACCCTTAAGCGTTGTGTACACTGGTACCTTCATCATTTTATGACACACTCTATGAGAAAAGGAGGTTTACACATATCCATGATATCTATCAAATACCAACCTGTCTTTAAAAATTACCTATTAATTACACTGATTATTGCATTTGTTATTTTATAAAATAAGGATTAAATGTACACTGCAACTTTACTCTGAGAAATTAAATTGTCACATTTGACATCCTAGTTCCACATTGTTAAAAATAAAGATAGATATCACATGTTCACAAGAAATTTTAACATCCAAAGTGATAATGAAATTATGCAATGAGCCAGACATGAAGTTGTTAGAGGGCATCAAGTAATTGAGGAAGAAAAATTATGCAATTATTTGATTGCTGCACAAACCTTTCACATGATTTCAATTTCATTTCCACTCATAGTATTTACATGTCCAATCGACTACTACTGTATTTGAATATGCTGCTTTCATTTCAACCACATAATATTAGTGAGTAGATATATATCCAGTAAATTCATAATAGCCCTATTATGTATTACAGACACTACTAAATTAGTTATTACAGAGTTTTTTAGAATGTCAAAGCTTATGTACAGCTGCCTAAATTCTCAAATTGATTTTCTTGGAAGATGGTTTACAAGTATGTAAAAATATTTTAGCTTTGATTTCTGAACCTGAGCAAATATTAGAAGTTGTACAAAGCAGTTAGTAACTTACTCTAGAAATTAAAAAAAAGACAAAAGTAATTATAAACAAAACAAGTATTTGAAAAGACCCTGCAATTATACTCATGAACAGATTTCAGAAGCATGCCTTTTGTTAGATCTTGGCACAAGGAGTAACTGTTATACGTCCTTATTTCATAATGAAAATAAAGACTAATTGGAAATTCAAGCACAAAGCAATTACTACCAAAGCCAAAGCAGAAGTACAGCTTTCATCTACCATAATCACATTCTCATTAGCAGCTTTGAAACAAAAATTACAGTGTACACCAATTGAGCAATTAAAACCACTAAAAATATTTTTTAAAAAATGCATTGATTGAACAAAAGAAAGCACTGGCTAAAGTCAGATTAAGGTAATTAATGAGAAAACGTTTCTATGTTAAAATTGTTATAGCTTGTATATGTACTTTGCACTCTTCCTATTCATGGAATGGAAACATGAAACAAAATATTAAATAGTTTTCTTCTGAAAAACACAGATTAAGACACCCATGCTGTGTTATAATGCCAGTGAATATTTCACTTCAGTAAAGAAAAGCAAGTGCTAATCCAAGCAATTAATTGGCACAAACCCACCTTTATGTTAATTAAATCAGGGCACATATTTCAGTATGTGTGGGACAGTGGAGAGTTAAAATTCACGCCCATACAAGCATCTAAAAGGCTACAACTAATTCCCTAATAAGAATCAATAGTTAAAGAAAGGCTTTTACATTAAGTACTTTAACTTTTGTGTAATAAATGCAATATAAGGGATGATTAATGTAGCTATGTTCACAAGCTGATTTAGAGAACCTATTTCTTACAGGTTAAGTCTACACTGCTCTCATGTGGTACACAATCTTGACATAAAGGAGAGAGAAAACACATTTGTGCAGCATTACAGAGAAATGGAGCTCCATTACTCTCTGCTTACTTGAGTTTTCTGCAGACATGTCCCAAGTTGTTCAATAAAGGCTCCCACTTATCAACTGTTACCTGCAAAATAATGCAACAATTCAAATAACTGCAGCTTCCTAGACTTTAAATTTTGTCTACTTTAAGAAAACAAAACCAACATACAAATGAATAGAGAATTTTATGAACAAGAAAAATAACACAAGCATTTTAAACTCCTAACAAAACACACAAGCTCAAAACCTGTATTCAATAACTCATTTTTCTATTTTTTACATTCCCCAAAGATATTAAAACTTGATGCAAACCAAACAAAACTTGTTTTCTACTTAACTAGAAAAAGTCAAGTCTCAGCCTAGGAGCACTGAAGACACAGCTTTAAAATATAATTTATACTGTATTACTTTTATCTTAAAATAAGCACAACATGTTTTGTCACAAGCTATTACAGAATTTGCAGGAGTTTTAGAGATTTATGACCTTGCATGTTATTAGAATAAATACCTCATTTCCAATAGCTTTGATTTTTTCCAGTGCATCAAGGAACCACTTTTCTGCAGTTTTCCAGCTAAGGATTGAAGGGGTGGGAAGGGAAAAAAGTAAATTAATGAAGAGTTTTCATTAGCAGTATGAGAAAACTGTATTCAAAAAAGATTTCTATGACATTATTTCATCATATGAGTGAAATTAAATATAAAACCCAAAAATTTACACTTGGCTATATTTTGCATTGTGGCCCTAAGAGCTACCAAGACAAAACTAAAAAAAAATAAAATAATCAGAATCAAATTAAAATATTGACTAAACACTTCTTGTATAGGTCAGGTTTTTTCCCTAGAATATATTTGGAACTCCTAAGCTGACAAAATGTTTGCTGTACAAAATTTTATATTATGTGCACAAATAGATGCCTTTTCATGCATTCAACTACACAATGACAGGCACATGGAAGATAGCATCAATCTCTGGATGTTCCTCAAGCATTAAATTCTGTTCTTGTTCAATCCTAAACAAGGAAGAACAATGTAGAAAGCAAGGATTTAAGGTGAACACCATTTAAACTATAACCAAAAGACAGTATAGTCCAATATAAGTACTTTTGGGGAGATACTGGCACATTACAATTCAGAGTAATCCACATTTAAGATAGTATTTGATTGTATTTTGCAAGCTTACTCTCCATTTTGAAATGCTACCACTCCAACTTCATGCATAACAAAAGGATCTTCAGGTGCAATGCTTAAAGCTTGGCTGAAAAACCGTTCAGCCAACTTGGAATTGTTGGTCAAACCATATTCCAGTCCAATATAGAGCATCGGCAAATGACACCTAAAAACCGTAAAACAAAGTGCACGTTTGTTTCTGTGTGGTTGTCAAGAATGGAGTCACAAACTATAAAGACATGCCAACTCTTTGCATATGTTTATGTACATCCAAGTAAAAGCTGATTTGAATGGACTACTAATCTAAGGGGAAGTTTAAAAGACTTTCCATCTCTGTTTAACAAGAGACTGAACTCCAAAATGTAATTGTAACTTGCTCTGCAATCACATATATTTTCTCAGCACTCAAGTTTAATTCTGATGATTTTTCCCTTAATTTCATTCATACATTTAATTTACAAATAGAATATAGAAGTAATCAATAAAAGAATTACATTTACCAGTAACCACAATCAAATACAATAGTTTTATATGCAATATAACACAATTAGTTCACGACTCATTTTACAATCCCCTCCCACACCACGAAAGAGCTGTTCGAGCTATTACTATACAGCAGTAGATGAGCTAGTATGACAGCCATGATTCACAAATTTCAGAAGATGTTCAGGTAGAATTTTGATTACCTATATATAAAACTTGTCTTTAGACTGATTTGTCTGATTATAAAATCAGAATAATAATCACAAATAATGCAGTTAAATGCAGACAGTTAAATTATTCGGGGTTTTTTTTCTCCCTTGTTCTCTACCAGGTAATTGTTGCAAATGCATTGCTACTGCTTAAAGGGATGTAAGTCAATATTCCACACTTCTTTTGAATTTTGGATTCCTTTGAATCTCTCTGAATATGATGTTTGTACACACCCTTTCATGAGCTGTGCAGCTGTGAAGTACGCAGCCATTGCTTGGTCATGCTCACTCTCCACTGCGAATGAATGTCCATATGCTATCCATGCAGGGCCATAGGTTCGCTCCAGTGTAGTAGCTTTGCTAAAAACAAGGGCAAGTTACAAGCAAACACATTTGAAATTAAATTTCATCTGCTTCAGATGACTAGTTAGATAGCAATGCTATGCCACATGGTTAGGTATCTATTAAGATAATTGTCTGTAACGACTAGTGGAAAACAAAGTTCATTTTAAAACTTCAAACTATTTAGCACTTAGAAGCATCACACATTCTTGTGAATTGGTTTTATTATTTCTGCTATTGTTAACAGACAGAAGGAATTATTTTACATTACTGAGCAATAATTATTTAGTAATTATTTAGTAATATTATTTAGTAATAATAATTATTTAGTAGGTGAATTGAGTAAAATATCGAAAACATTAGTAGTGACTCAAAACTCATTGCAAAATCCTAGCTATACATTTTAAAATAAATATATTCTATCAAATCCAAGCTTAAGAAGTGGGATATGAAAATACCAAATGAACACTTAGGTTGAAATTTTGCCATCTAATTGCACTAGCCTTGAAGAAGATGAACATTTGTCACTTCATAGGCCGTGCATCACAGAAGTATACAAAATATCACTCAAGTCTTGAGTTGAGAACTGCAACCTGATCATCAAGTCATCAACATCGAGACTTTACAGTGAGGAGGACTTGACAAGAACATTAGGAAGCTATGTAGATTATTCTCTGAATCTGAAGGCAAGGGCTTTCATAACTAAACAGCTCATAACAAGTGTGCCCAGTCTTTTCTTAAAAGCTTCTGACATGGAGCTAATACATGTTCCATAAGTGTTCTAGCATATTGCTTAACTATCCTTAAAAACTTATTTTTTTTCTAACATAAAATCTAAATTTTATCTGTCACAGTTAAACTCATTATTTCTCATCACAGATCATAGAGAACAGTTTGTTCTCTGTCTTCTGAGACAAAACTTAACATATTCAAACATTTCTATCTTGCTACCCGTGACAGCAGTGAAAGGTATGTGGGTATTTGACTGTGTTTTCAAGTTTCTTTTTTGGAAACCACTGTGTAGCCCATAGTAGTCCCCAGCCTTGTTAGCTTTATACTATCATTCTTCTCCAAGAAATTTAAGCATCTTGTTACTATTTCACTTTTAGCAGACATCTTTTCCCTTTTGCCAGAACTACTCTGAATTTTGATGTTTGTTGTTTTTTGGTTTGTTTTTCTCTTCAACATATCTACAGATCCTTTCTTGCTGTCTAGAGATGCTTGTACACTTCAAGATGGTTTTCAATTCAGCACCAAACCAAATGTATCATTTAGGACAGCTAGTTGAAGAAATTCCCCATGCTGCTTATAAGGAATGTAAATATTTTACTCATAATAATCAGGCATTTGAAAAATCTAAATGACTAACCCATCTTTACATATATTGCCTGTAAAGGTCTCAGGAGAAATTAGTCTTACAGGTTGATTTATGCCTTCTCAGTTTAAGCTTACAGCACCAGAACAAATGTCCTACTTCACAAAGGTCCCTGTGCTGATATTCACTACACATACAGAAGACCTACAGGAAACAGCATTAAACAAACCTGAAAAGCCTACCACTGCTTGTGCACAGAAAGAACTTGACATCCACATGTCAGAATTTTCCATATAATTCTTCCCTTTCAGATATGAAACCTGAACCTGGGAGAATGCTGCCTGAGTGTCCCTCAGCTGAGAACTGAGGCCTGATCACCTACAGCTGTAGTTAGCTCAGCAGCATGAGTGACTGCAGGACTATGCCTGCCCAGAACAGGAAAGGGGACTGCCTAGAGAGATACAACATATGTCTTCTTCATTTTTAAAGTATCTCTATGGACCAGGTCTAAATTGCTATACAAAAAAAAAAGGGTGGCAACAAATGTATTTAAGTAGTAACCAGTTTGTTGAGGCTTCTTTATGAGCTTACGAACAATCATGAACATTAAATGTTTACTTAGCAAGTGAGCAACAGATTCACTAAGGAAAACAGAAAAAAAAATTACCTGAGATATCTTCTAGCGTGTTCATTTTTGTGGCCAACCATGAGATAATAGCATCCTACTGCAAACCATGACACCTACACATTAAAGTCAAAATAGAATATTGTTAGATGCATCACACTCATTTTAGTGAAGCACCAAAAGAGAGGGAGACATAATAATTACAGAAGTTAGGAACATTTTCACTGAAATCGCAGTCAGCTCTTCAAATTATTTGGTGCTACAGACAAGCTAGAGCTGCTGGCATGTCCCTTTCTAACTGGGGCTTACTCAGCCTCATGAAGAGAGGTAAGTGGAAAGCTTATTGCTGTCCTAAATTATTTAAAGGTAGGGAATACAAGGCAGAGCCAGATTCTTTTCAGTGGTGCAGTGACAGCACAGGAAGCAATGGGTACAAGGTGCAACACAGAAAATTAAGATCAACTCAAAGAAAAACAATTTTTACTGTGAAGGTGATCAAACACGGGAAAAGGTTGCTCAGGGACATGTAGACATTTATTACTGTAGCATTTGTTTTAAATTATTAATCAAAGTAAATAACTCACACTGAATACCTTTTACAGGTACTTAGTTTTATAAAAAGAACTTTGGCATAAGGAAATTACAATGCAGAGAAAATAAAAAGAGCAAACTATTTCTACAAGCTTCATCCAGAAACAGATTTTAAATTCTGTAGCTCAAACTAATACATTACAACTTTTATGTGCTTTCACCTAAAAAAGAAACTACCTGACAACAAAAACTTAGAACAACTTACAGGATTATTTGGGTACAAATCCACCAGTTTGTGAGAAAGATAGAAAAGCTCTACATAGTGGGAAGATACAAGAAAAGAAAATTAAAACATGCTAAAACATTTAGATGTTTCAAGTCTTTTAGCTTTCCATAAAAAATATACAGAACATCTAAGATTATTAATCCATAAATAAAAATAAAAAGTTTTCTTTTAACGGTAATGCTTCAAGCTGCCTCAAAATAGATTGTTTTGCAATTAGCTAAAGAAAACCCAACCAAAACAACCCATAAGTCTTCACAGAACACAAATAAGCAGCTCTACTTCCCACCCTTTAAGAATTCTGCAACAACTTAGGTCATTAACATAGATTAAAATAAATGCCAGTAGTATTACACTTGAATGTACCTTGTCAAGGTAAAACACTATTCAACTTCCTACATCTAAAAGGTATAACATACTGGCTAGATCCATTTCAAAGTAGAGTCCTGTGCATTAATATGCTGAAAATAGGACAAAAGCAAATAAATTATTATATTATTTGGAATAATTCCAAGTGATTACTTCTTTAGTAAAAATAGTAATTCTAGTTACTGGAATAACTTACTACAGATTTTCTAATAATAGCAGCAGTAATGAGCTACAGGATAACCATTCTATTGCCCATGCAATTTCAAAGGAAATAGCATTATGGCACATAAAGTTTCTATTTCTTCAGACCACAGTGCTCTTCAACCAAAGAGATTGTCCTGGAGCACTTTTGTATCAACTCTCAGCTCCAGAAAAAAAATCATACAACTGGCTTACAAAATATTAACTTATGTACATAATGCTTGTCAAGGCAGCTTTAGAAGAAGAATCAGAGTACTGGCCCCATTTTCAGATGTACTTAGCCGTAAAATAACTAGGAGGTGCTATCACTAATCACCAAGAAGTGCCAATACACCTAATGATCAATTTGCGTACATACAATGCACAGTTCCCAAGAGACTGCACAGCATATGAGCTCCTTGTTCTATTTTCCAATTGATTTTAACGACATTCAAACTGTTCACTTGATTTATATGCAGTTTGGAACGAGAAAAAGCCACCCCAGCTGCAAGTAAGCTATTTCTGTAATTCCAATGAAGGTGTTGCATGATTATTAATTTGCTTGAACTGACCAGAGGCCTCCATAACAGCAAAGGCAAGAAGAGTCTAGAATTTTTTCTATCACAGAATAAACATGTCTACCTAAGCATACACAACTGCTGAACAGTTCTGTCTAGTTTAATTTATTATGTTTTACTGTTGACCAGAAAAAGTAAGCCAGATACTGTACAAAGATCACCCGGAAACAGAAATCACAATGACAGGGATGAGGCAGTGTAGCTCATGGGCCTCCTGGCTACACAATCCAGTGGTTAAAAGATATCAACACTAATGACCATGAATTCTTTGCACATCTACTTTCCCCTAACCCTCAATCCGGCTGTCAGCTCTGAAATTCCCTTCTTTACCAGTTACCACTGTTTTCTTGAAGTGGCAGGTAGGAGGAAAAATATATGTAATTTTTCAAATGGTATATAAGGGGGTTTCCTGGCATCTTTAATTCTTTATTAAAATTGGGGCTTTACAGCCTTCTGTTGTGTTGTATAAAACACTGTGTTCCTTACCATTTGCTTTGTTAAGCTCCACAAGTGTCCCTATATGTACAGGTAAACAATTTGCATGGAAGGGATCTTTTTCCATCACTCTAAAAAAAAAAATTAAAAAAAACTGTAATGCACATTTCAAGAACTTTAATGTGTTAAAAGAAAACTGCTTGTATAGCATGTAATGTTTGAGTAAATTACCACTTTAGGCATTAGAAAACTATTTGTGACTTAAAGACAACTATTAACAGCATAATAAAGGCTCTCTTCAGACCAGAAATATAACAGTTAATTTAGCTTAACAAAAGGGAGTAACAAAATTCTTTCAAGCTGAATATACAATTAGAAAATCATAATAAAACGCTCTTTTGTTTTGCAGGTCACTTCATATTTAACCAGCAGACAGAAAACAAAAACATTTCTGTTCATATCCATACATTTGACAGTAACTTTCAAGCAATAGTCCTCAACTTCCTGAGGTTAACAACAGGCAGTATGCCTTCAGAGTCACATTTAGCTCTGTTGTAAAATTTTGTTTCCTGTGGCATTCAGAAACACATCCATGAGTCCAGACCTACAGCAGCTGAGAAGCAAGCCACGGTAGTGTTCTGACCCCTCTGAGCAGAGCAGCAGTGCATGTCTGGAGTGTGTAACCACCCATACACGATACCTGGCCATCAAAATTAGAAATAACATGCTTTCAAACTAGCTTTTAAATTAATAATATCTTTTGATCATTATTTTTTTTGATCAAAGATATCATTATTGGCCAGAGAAATCAAACTTCCTAACTAACCAACTGATTCAAACCAGTTCATTCTGAAGGCCAAACAAGAAGTAGGTAGAGAGCACATGAAATTGAAGGTACCAGAATAAGGAAGAGGATGGATGAAGGGAAATTCAGTACAGTGTTGATTGAGTTTTACCTTGGATACTTCTGATATGTATTATAAAAATACCATGTCTTGCCAGACACAAACTACACATTTTAATATATGACATGTATATTACAATACACATCAAATTGTTATGTATGTTTACCCATTGAACAATAATATTTGCTGTAAGTCCAGGCATAATTATTACACTTCACCATAGGATAAAAAAAATCTGAAAAGTTGCTTTGTACACTTACACTGAAGTAAGCTTGTAACACATTTTGAAGTCACAGTTGTAATAATGCCTTTCAGCTAAGGATACTACCACATCCAGGTTTTCCTGAAGACCATCTACTGATTCAGGAATCAGTGTTTCACTGGGTTTATTATACTGAAAGACAAAAGAAACAACATTTGAAACAAAAACTAAACTAAAATCAGATGGTATAAGTATTAATATTTTTAGTCCTAAAAGATTATTTAAGAAGCTTTAAAGTTCTTAAAATTTTTATTTTTAAACTGAAAGTCCATAAAACCTGTATTTGGTAAAATGCTTCTTTAAAATGTATTTAAAAGCTCATTTAGAACACGAAAGATGCTTTCCATGGTCAATATGTTTTGTGTAGGCTGTAGAAATTAAAACTGAACAATATATATTTTTTTGGCTCCTTATCACTTTATCTTTGGATAAGAATAGTCTGGAATGATGTTGTTATAGCCTAATATTTTCAGGTAAATGATCTTCTGTCCACATTATTAACACTTTTTTTCCCCACCTAGAAGTTTCTCAATAAATACATTTTCAAAAACATAAATCAGAATTTCAAGTTGTCACCATAGCAGAAAACAACCCAAAACTGCATAAAGTGAGAGGTACTGCATAAAAAATTTTGAAAATTACAAAGTCCATATTTATTTCATTGTTCAGAATAAATAGGATCCAAGAAAATTTACACACAAAGTCAAGACTTCCAATCAATTCTCCAGATTTTTGGGACTTACCTTTTTCAATTTATTCTCAAATAAAAAGTGAAGCAATTCCTGTTCTTCTTCCGTACACTGTCTATTAAGAGGAAGAGATTCAAGGAGTTCTTTTTCTATATGAATTAAAAGACATTGAAGTGGTCATATTACAGAAGAAACACCAAGATCCAACTTTTCAAGAACTTAGAGATATAAAGGATTTTATGATGGTCATCCCAACTGCAAGAACTGTAACAGCACAGATACACTGAAACAGATAATACTACTAATTTTGGAAATTAAAGATTGATTAGTTATTCCTTCTACACTTTAAAATAAAATGTAATAAGGATGATTTTTTTTTTATTTACTCCACACGTCAAATGTTATCACTTAGAATGCTCTATTAACTAACATCTAAGCAAACCCCAGGAGGGTTTCATTGGTTCAAAGCCTGTGAAATTGAGAATACAGGACAAAACTTTGTTTGGGCTGGGCAGAGCAGACGAGCTTCAGGAGCTAACAAGCAGGACAGTTGTCTTACCATGTTTCTTTCAACTCTTAGCACTGCAGGACTGAAAAATAAAAGTTCAAATGCAAATTTGTGCAAATCATAATAGTCACTCATTTCATACATCTTCTAGTCTTATCATTTTGAAGTTTGCTACTTTTTGTATTGCCTTAATTTTTATCTAGGAAAACACATCATGAGAAAGCAGGTAATTTTTACTTGTATTTGAGAAATACTTCTCTCCAGACCTTCTTGTGCTGTCAGCATATGGTGTGATGTTAAAAGATCAAATGCTTCAAAGCAGTAAACATCAAGCTTCAAGGCCTCTTTGTAGCTGTAAGTTGCCAGTGTTCTATTATCCAAAGCATCATAGATCTTCCCTCGTAAAAGGCATATAGAGCTCTTGATCTGGTGGAAAAGCAGGACTGGAGGTCAAAGACTGAATCAGCGTTTGCATTTTAGTTTTGAGCACAAATCAAATATGCTCCCTGGAAAGTAAAAAGTATTTCATGTATGATAGAACCTGATTTTCTAGTGCTGTCTTTAAATAAAAAGTTGTCTCTACTATCTCAAAGAAAAATCCAAAGAATGCTCTGTCACGTTACCTACTGCCGAACAAACAGATGCTCAAAATAAAAACAGGAGGACAGAGTTCATCTTTCCTAATGATGGCATCCAGCTCTCTGAAACTGAGTTGTAACTTAATTATACTAAATTCCCTTCATATCCAACATAGAGAAATTGTCACTTCCAAAGGCAATACACTTCTTTGCTGACCATTAAGCCACATATTTCATGCAGAACAAGAATGACCACAGTAGAGATAAAAAAAGGCCAAATCAATGGACTCAATTGTGTGGAACAGAAAAATATATCCTCGTTTTCAATCCAAAACAGAGATATTCCAGAAAAGAAAACAGTGAAAACCCATAATTACCAGTTGTTCTACAATGTTTATTAACTAACATGTTTTCCAAATTCCCTTGATAGGTATTCAGTTCAGTCAGAAGGCCACAAAAGTGTCAGCAAAAGAGAAAGTTAACACATTACCCAACTCTATCATCAGACATAACAGTCCTTTAATCCCATTATACCAGCTTTCAAAATCAGTTCATATCAGCAATGTAAACCATTTTGCTACTTCAGTCTTAAAGGGAAAATGCTGTCTGTCAATCACCTACACTGTAATTTCAGCTAATAAATTTTAATTTGTACCTTTGAAACTAACAGCTCTTCACAGGCCCTTCAGCATACACATTGTACCAATCTCTTTAAACTGTGTGTCTACACAGAAATTTTTCACTGAGCTTCAAAACTTTCACCTTCACCTCACATAGTTTTCACAAATGTGATCAAAGAATATCCCACTGAGAAGAACACTTGAGTGATTATGAAGTATTTAATTAAAAATAACTGGAGAAGAAGAAAAATTTGCTTTGTTATCCCAGAACCTGCAGCCAAATTGAAAGCAATGTTAGAATATATTATCAAGAAAGAGCTAAAAGACTGTAAAAACCAATGCTAGATCATGAAGTTCCTGTAAAGTGTCTGCAAATAATTTATAAGAAGCTGTTGAAAAACACTGCTTATTTTTGCAAACGGAGTTATTTTCATACAGCTACCACAAAACATGTGAGTGAAAGAAAAACGATTCAGGATTTCTGAAAATTATGTTATCTGAAAAAGAAAGCTTTAATGCAGTTTCAGATTCATAGAGCTGTGAAATCACTTTCTGACTTCACAGATTTTCTTCCTACAAAAATATTTCTTAAAATAATGTCACTTACTGAAGACTGTGACATCTCCCAGTCTGTGGCAGAATCTTTCAACCCACTTTCATCCTTCAAGTACTTTTCAAAAAGTCGTTTGTTGATTGGCTCCTCCATATCAAGAATATCCAAGGCCTGTTGATGCTCTTTTGCAGCATACTAACCAAACACGTGCATGTAAAAAACAAGGTTTTGAAAAATTTGTACATAAAGCATCAATAAACACAGCATCATGTTTCAAAGGCATAGGTTTTATCAACTAGTGTTTATCAGCAGGTTTTTCATGCATGCATTTTCTTATTTGGCTATTTGTCATTTTATAATTCCAGTCATCTCTTTTACTGGTCATCTATAATATGCAAAATGATAAAATAATAAAAATATGCAAAAATTATAAACTAAAGTACGTACAGAAAAACGTATTATTCAGCATTATGCAGTCAGAGAGACAGGTATAGTTCTAAAAATAGTTAACACAACTTTTAATAAAATACCATCATCTTATTCTATAAGCAGCATATTATTCTATTTCAAATTTTTGTATTTAATCTATCAATTGATTCAGTTGTGTTTCTGAAAGCACTTCACTTTACCTTTTATGTATGACACTTTATAAAGAAGTACAAAGCTGCTAACTATAGTCATACAACCATAAGTCACATCTCCTCTGCTCAGATTACAACCAGCCAAATAAAAGTGTAAACATTAAGATGTGAGACCAAAATGCTTCACATTCTTTGCCCCCAAAATATTAGGGGATTATTTCCTGGGAAAAAAGGTCAGTTGGATTTCTTCAGGTAAGTGCCACAATGGATACTCCAGTGACCCAACTGAAAGTTAAAGAATAAAATCAACTGTCAGAAAATTTAAACCTGAATACATCTATCCACACTGCCAATCAGGTACCTAATCTTCCCAAGATGTGTCTTTTATTTAGTTTTGTTTGTTTCCAGTAGGGGTTAAAATGTGTACTCACATGACATCTAGCTGCAAGGTAGCGACATGCCTCATACAACTGAAAGAGAAGTTTCACACACATCAGTTATAAAGAGAGAATGTGTTTGCTTACACTGCAAAAGGAGTCCCTTTTGCTCTCTCCTTTTTCAGTTATACGGCTTCTTCACCCCTTTCACCACCAAAAGTCCTTCCTGACCAAGCGTGTAACACTTTCCCTTCTACTAAATTCTCAAAGGACACTTACTTGACTCTTGTCTTTACCACTCATTATCAGAGTGGAAGGAAAATTGAAACAACTACATCTGAAGTGACAATCCACCTTCCCATACCTGCTGCAGTTACATCCCTGGACCCCTTCTCTTTTCTGTGACCCTATCTGAGAACAATGCTTTAAACCTGACCAATTGAACACAAGGCCTTATAAACGAAATATAGCTTTCTTAATTACTTTTCATATAAACATAAGTCTGTGATGGTGGAGAAGTCACTGTGGTGAGCAGCAGAGCGTTAAAAGAGGGGTAACAGTGGCATGCCTTTGACTAAAATGACTTACCTTATCCAACTTCCGCGATCGAAGGGCGTGTGCTGCCCTGTGATACTGAGCTGTTAGGTAAAGACACTGGGCCAACCAGTAGATATCCTGTGGCTCCTCTAAAGTGAAAGAACAAATTATTATCCACTGCTTTAAAATATAGCTTCAAACATTTTAATACACAATGTTCATTTTTGCTTCACTAGAGAAGTATCTTCCCCCTACTCTAACATCCTATAGAGTTACAAAATTTTATTTATAAATATGTATAAACTAATTACAGTATCTATCAGTGAGAGAGTAAAATGAAAAGATAATCAGATTTTAACTATAAAGACCTCAGATATTGCACGGGACAGTGAATACAAAGAATGTCATAACAGAGGTGTGTCATGAGAAGGAGACAGCAATGATATAGACTAAAAAAAGCAGCAGTTGCAGGTTACTCTTAGATACAGGGCAGAAAAGAACAACCCATAAATGTCTCTCAATTAAAAGACCAGTGGGAACCTAACAACAGTGAAAGCACTAGACTTCCATAGCTTGGAGCTGCAATTTCAGAAGTGCAGCTTGGTACCCTCCTTCCTTACTGGTTTGGTTTGATCCCAACCAAATCCTTTGTGGGATCAAATCCCTGGAATGACTTTAAGAAGTGTAAGTGCTTGTGGCTATGGACAGCATCAACACCTTCCCAATGTAAACCCATGTTGTACTTGTCACCCAGGGCAGCCCTGAGTCCTCTGGGAAACCACCATGATCTCTTGGGTTTTTGTTTCTTAAGGAAGGCAAACCTTAAGGTTTGTACAAACATGAATTTTAATGCAAAGTTCAAAAGGTAAGGAAAATAAGCTCTGCTCTGTTTAAGAGAACGGCATTCCAAAGATCACAAAAATGCACTTAAACCAAACTCAAAACATCAGCATTTGGCCAAACCACACTAAAACCCCATCAAAACAGAACAGTATCAGAAAGAAGTTCATAAAATACAATGTAAAAAGCAACCACTTACCATGAGAGAGTGAAGCTACTTTGTCAGCCCAAAACAGGGCACTTTGATACTGTTGCTGTAAAAGCATGATAGAAATAATTAGTATTCCTTTGGGGTTAGCTTTTCTGGACAATATTGAAATACACTGTACATCAGTCAGATTTAGTATCTTGCATGTAGTCTTTAATGAATGGTGATTCATATTTCAGGTCTTTGTAACTTAAAAAATAGTTTAAAAGGGCCAATACTGTAACCTCCAAGGAATATCCAAAAGTAATTTGGACTTTTTCATTTATCTTCAATAAAATCCAGGTATGTTTGACCAAAAGTTATGTGCTGTGTAAGTATGGCAATAGGTTGTTAGTTGAATTGCCATCACTGAAAAAGTAGCAAGAATCCCCATCTCCAGATAAAAAAAATACTACTTTTTAGAAGAAAGAGAATACAAAATATAAAAAAAGGGCACCAAAATTACTTCAGGTAACTTCAGCAGCACCATCTCTAATCAAGAAATGTTCATTCTCCAGTCAAGGTGCTTCAGCTTCACATAAATCCATAGTGCCTGCATGCATTTCCCCTTATTCTTGGATACACATTTTCACTCATGAGACTCAAGCTTGGCAGGAGTGAAACAGGTAAGAGTGCTGGCAACCAGAGATCAGACAGAAGCAGAATTTGAAGGTATATCCCACTAACCCAGCTAAAGTTGCCACCAGATTTGGGGTGCCAGACAAAATCTCACAGAACTGGCTGGGATTATCTCCTGAGAAGATCACCAGGCACTCTTGCTGTTCCTTTTTATCCCTCTCCACGCAAAGAAGTCTAATGTGATCCCCAGGGTATGCTGGACACTTAACAGATACCCTGCCATTGCAAGGATTTGTAAGACTTTACAAGAGAGGGCAGCAAGAGGACAAGGGGGAATGGATTAAAACTGAAAAAGAGAGTAGGTTTAGATTAGATGTTAGGAGGAAGTTCTTTGCTGTGAGGGTGGTGAGGCACTGGCACAGGATGCCCAGATAAACTGTGGATGTCCCATTCCTGGAAGTGTTTAAGGCCAGGTTGGATGAGGCTGTGAGCAGCCTGGTCCCTGCCCCTGGAAAGGGGTTGGAACTAGATGGTCTTTATGGTCCCTTTCAACCCAAACCATTCTGATTCTCTGAAGACTAAGAAAGCCTTGATGACATCTCTCCTCTCCTGCACCATTGCAGTTGTGGAATTTGTTCAGAACCTTAGGGACTGTTTAATGCTTTTGGAGTACAAGTCTGGCAGTCTCCTCTGAAATGCACACACTGCTGGTATCCCAGTCCTCATAAAGCACTACACTCCATGACCTAAGTGGTTTCTTTTATCATATGTTCTGACATTTCCTACTTGATAGGGATTAATAATACCCAGCAAATTTGTCAAAAGAATAGTTTGTTTTCAATCTGAACTCCCAAGGGGGAAAAAAATCCACAAAAACACACAAACCAACCCCACACACATTTAATAGCTGTCTACAAGAAAAGACATTTAAAGTATTATCTCAACACCACAAAATAAAGGTATAATCCAGGCTTACAAGGCAATGCTCCGTTGAGCAGTTTTACAGCATTAAAGGATGACACATTATTACACAAAAAAGCAACTTCTTGTTCCTCCTGATGCCCCTTCTTCAGAAGTACACAGCTGTCTATACAGCTGTGTGGCAAAGCAGCTTGGTGAAACATTTCAACACAAATGTGAACAACAAACAACAAACTAAACCAATCAAACCCACCAAATTAGCTTAAGTCCCTAATCATCCTTTCAGTCAGACTTGCTGGCCACACAGAGAAATGTCTTTGCTGAATTTAAGGGGTGTGCTTTTCTCTGCAGTGATGCCTGCACCAAGTCTGAACTGGAAGGAGAGCAGAACAGTTTGATGCTACATTTAACCTAATTTATATATGCATTTTCCCTCTTGTGTATTTTTTTTTTCTTTTTTGCCCTGCAGCAACATAATTGCTGAATCCATCAGCAAATGAAAACAACCCTGCCCTTGTAAGAGCCGTCTGTGGCATTGCAAGAGTGTAATGGGAAGCTTAATCACCAGGTAGAGAATCACAGAATGGTCTGGGTCAGAAGAGACCTTAAAGGTTGTCTAGTTCCAACCTGCCATGGGCAGCTACACCTTCCACCAGACCAGGCTGCTCAAAACCTCATCCAACCAGGCCTTGAACACTTCCAAGGATGGGGCATCCACAGCTTCTCTGGGCATCCTGTTTCAAGTTCCACCCTCACCACCTTCAAAGAATTTCTTCCTGATATCTAATCTAAACCTAACTTCTCTAAGTTTGAATCCATTCCCCCTTGAAACAATCATAGAATCAATTAAGGTTGGAAAAGACATCCAAGATAACGAAGTCCAACCTTTGCCAGAACCCACCATATTCACTAAACCATGTCACCTAGCGCCATGTCCACTTCCAAGAAGGGTGACTCCACCACTGTCCTGGGAAGTCAGTTCCAATGCCTAACCACCATTTCACCAAGAAGATTTTTTTTTTTTTTTCTGATGTCCAACCTGAACCTGCCCTGGTGCAACAGAGGTCATTTCCCCCTGCCTCAGGTAAGTACGGCCCAGCTTGCACAACCCGAGAGGGCGGGATCCTGCAAATACGCCTTCGCTACACAGCAGCCCCACGGCGGCTCCCCTCCTTCTCCACACGAGGGAGAAACCAGGAAAACCCACCGGGAGGCCCCGGCTCCCGCTGGAGACCGCACAGGCGGCGCTTCCGGCCCGCCGCACCCCTCTCTGACCGCCTCTCCTTCCCCTTCCAGGGAAAACGGGACATAATTACAAAATTACGCCCTCTCCGCCGTTGCAGAGGCCGGCACCGCTTCCCGCCCCGCCCCGGCCTCCTTCTCTGCGGGAGCCACTCCGAGAGCGGCTTTTCCTCGGGGAAAACCCGGGGGGCTGCCGACCCTTCCTCAGCAGCCCCCGCTGTGCGCTCACCTGGTCGATGTAGTGGCGCACTCGCTTCCTGAGCCGCTCCAGGTTCATCCTCCCTCCCTCCCGCGCCGCCCTGGATGCCTGAGCCGCCGAGGGACCACGGGCCGCTCGCCGGTGCAGCGCCCAAACCCGCCCCCCGCCTTCTCTCCCTCCCTCCCGGAAACAGCGCCTCGAGCGCGGCGTTCCGGGAGCGCTTGGCCCGCCGGGGACATCCCCCTGCGCGGGCCCCCGCCCCCACATCCCCCTAAATAAACATGTCCTGGGACTTTTCTCTACAGTCCATACTGTAGAGAAAGAGAAATTTGTGGTGAAGGGGTTCTTCACCGTTTCGAAGAGAAAGACTGTCCGTAGAATTTGGCCCGAGGGAATGGCCTGAAGCTGTGCCAGGAGAGGTTTAGATTGGATATCAGGAAAAGGTTCTTCCCCCAGAGGGTGGCTGGGCACTGGAACAGACTCCCCAGGGAAGTGGTCACGGCACCAAGCCTGACAGAGTTACAGAAGCTTTTGGACAGCACTCTGAGGCACACGGTGTGACTCTTGGGGATGGTGCTGTGCGGGGCCGGGGGTTGGGCTCCTTGGGTGATCCTTGTGGGTCCCCTCTGGCTCAGCATTCTGTGATTCCGTGATTCCTATAGAGATCTGTTGCCCTGAGAGCTCCCTTCGGCTGCTGCAGCTTTGTGGTGAAAATATTCCCTCAGGACTTTGCTGGGATGGTGGATGGTGTGTCTATGAGGAGGTTTTCTATGAGTCTTGAATCTCCCAGGCATTTTTGGTGTCGCACAGATTGGGGAATCATTTACTAGGACACTGCTGAAACATGTCAGCTTTTACTACTGAAACCCAAGTAATGTGAACCATTAAAATGTCTGATTTGAAGTAATTTGGCCAATACATCTTGGAGCCGGTATGTATGGAACAAGAAGGAGAATGACCTGTGTTAGCTTCAATGGAGAAGGAAGACTTGTGTCAGGGTTACAGTGTGGAGAAAGCCACAAAGGTGGCAGGTGGTCACAAGTAAATAGTCTTCATTTGAGGAAAATGGATTCATGTGCCCTCTCTTGAATTATTTGCAATAGCTGCACTTTGATGTAAAACTGTTTGATTTCAGTGATTTGCTCCATTTATTAGTTAGGCCAGCTTTTCACCTCACGCTGTGTCATCTTTTGGGGGCCAAATCTTCTCTGATGCCACTGAATGTGTGTGCTGCAGACAGCAGATACTTGTGCCTGCTGTAAAGCATAAATTTATTCTGGGTTTGGTTTTTGGTTTTTTTTTTCACTCAACTGCATTTGTAGGTCTGCTACTTTTTCATATTTTGGAAACCAACATCCTGGGGAAAGCAAAATCCTTGTTCATCTTTCCATTAGATCACATTATGAAGAAACTAAACCCTATGATAGTTTCTTTGGATCCAACAGTCCTGTCTAGTGAGGGTTATCACGTTCAACTTCCCTAAATACAACTTCTGGGTGTCCAAATACCTTCCATAGCAGGATACAATCAAGCTTTTGTACCTACAATTCTCAGAAACTTGTGGCTTGTAACAAGTACTACCATTCCACTCATTGCATTTGTTTGTTTAAAATCCTCTTCAAAATCAGTACAGAAATAACAGCATATGTATTCATCAGCTTGTTGGCCTTTCTGTGTACAAAAAAAGGTGTTTGAGTGGGATTTTGATAACATTTAGAAACTGCTGAGTGGTGGAGCCCATGATTTGTCCTATGTGGCACATTTCCCTCTTGGACTAGGTGTAACAATAAATCCCCAGAGATCAGTGGCTTCTGTTCAGTGTGAGACATCAGGGTAGCAAACTGCAGTAATTCAGAGAGAACAAGATAAATTTAAAAATCATAGAATCATAGAATGGTTTGGGTTGGAAAGGACCTCCAAAAATCATCAAATTTTAATCCCCCTGTGAAGGGCAGGGGTACTTTCCACTAGACCAGGTTTCTCAAAGCCCCATCCAACCTGAGCTTGAATGTCTCCAGGAATGGAGCATCCACAACTTCTCTGGGCAACCCGTTCCAGTGCTTCACACCCTCATCATAAAATGTTTCTTCCTTGTATCTAGTCCAAATCTACCCTCTTTTAGTTTAAATATCTCAGTAGAGAAACTGAGTTTGAAACTTCATGAAATGCACAACAAAAAAATGAAATAAATTATGAAAATTAGGAGTTGGTGCTAACCGCTAAGATAGAAATCTTGGCTGGGGAAGAAAAAAAAGATGCACAGGAAGTGTGGGGGTTGGAAGAGATGAAAATGCTCTTGTTGGGGATGGGTGACAGTTAAGAACAGCCGTGGTCACCAGGAGCTGCTCTGAAGCACAGAGAAGACCTCTCATCTGTAGGATCTTGGAGCGGTCCAGGGAACGCTCTATGAACGTGGGGAAACAGGTACAGAAATGCACATAGAGAGTGTTATATCTCTGTTAGCATCTATCTGGTTCTAACATTGTCAAAGCAGAGTACATCATCTCATGTTGCTCTTTAACATGTGTTATGTGCTGCTTTTTCATGTTTTCCTGAAAATTTAGCTCATCTCAATGAGATGTTTCTGGGGCTAGAGCTCAGAGGAATGGTTGCTTAAGCTATGCTGGGGGGCTAAAGCAGTGTGGCTCCAGGGGCTCTGCTCAGGTGGGCTCCAGTCCTGTTTCTTCAACAGGAAGCAGGTCTGACATCAGCTCTCATGAAGTAGCTGGTCATTCAAAGAAAGCACCCACATGGACAGACTCCATAGTTTTGCTCTTTCACTAGGAGTTACATAGGCATGTGGGCAAATAGATCTGGCTGACACATCATGTGAACAGCAAGATCTTTGTGAACTGGTGTTTGAGGCTTAAAAATTATTTTAGGTGTGAACAGGGGAAATTTTGAACGTTACGTAGTTTCAAATAATATGTAAGTTTGTCTTTCAGATTCAAAACCAGTAGAGAGCAAAACTACTGTAATGGTTAAGAGGTGTTGATATACCTACTGCTTTGCTTAATAATACTTTTAACAGTGGGTATGGAGAGTCAGTTAAATTGATTTCCAAATTTGCATTCAAGTATCTTAAATCTTGAGAGGAAGTGAAGGGCTCCAGTGCAAGTCATAGTAAGACTTTCTCATTTTGTGGAAGTTCCTTTATTTTTATCTAATTTTAGATCTCTTCTTTCTTTTTTTCTAAAAACACCTATAGACATGATATGTGCTGGTGCTATCACATAGCTTCTTTCTGCTGCTTTTAAATTACTGTTTCTGAGTCAGTTTGGTGCTTGCACATTTCATAGAATCACAGAACAATTCAGATTGGAGAATACTTTCAAGATCATCTAGTTTCAACCTCCCTGCCATAGGCAGGGTCACCTTCCACAAGACCAGGTACACTTGATCCAGTAAAAGTGAGCATGTTCGCTTTCAGTTTGTACATGAAAAAGTCTTCTTTGATATTGGAAAGTGTCCTTGTTTCTTGCTTGAGTATTGTAACTGAAGTGAGGCCTCTGAAATGGAGGTGTATTGAGGTGGGAGAAGTTCTCTCTGAAGCTCAGGAGCAGGTGTCAGTCTTTCTGGGAAGGTTTCAGAAGCGGCCTCTAATTCAGCGGTTTTGCTCAGGTAAGTGGAAAAAGTGCATGACCTTCTACTATCCTCATTCTGAAGATTTTCTTCTTCATCCCTGCAACCCCAAACCCATGTGGGCTCCTGTTCCCAATGTTGTGTATAAGTACTGCAGACCAGCTAAGGGGCAGCCCTTGGCAATCCCCACTTTACAGAGGCAGAATATCTGAATTGCTCCTATGGGGTGTGACTCTCCCTCAGCTGCCTGCAGCATGGCTAAATTTGGGAAAAGGTTTTATTTTGATTTTCAGTGTGTCTAAAAAAGGCAGTTTGGGAAATGGACTGAACTTGATAAACTGAGGACACCTGTGGCATGCATGGAAGGGGAGAAGGATGGAAAGGAAAGCAGTTGGATTTATCTTGTCTCCTACCAGTGTTCTTTAATTATCTTACAGAATTCGTGCCTTTTCATACAGAAATTGTGTCATCTCTTCTATGTCTAGGCTTATTAGCGTGACATTTCTGTACCTGATTTTCTATTATTTGATTGCTCATGATGAACTATGTGAGCTGTCAAAAACACAATCTGCAATTAAAGTGAGGCCTTTATTTAAATTTCCTCCTTCTTATTTTATCTTGGCTTACACAACTGCTGTAAATCAAGCCTGCCTCTTCCAAACATCTTTCATCCCATTAGTCACTGTCAGGCAAGTTTGACAGGTCTCCAAAAGCAGAGTTAGTTTCTGCAAGTTTTGTGGAAGTTGGTGTCAAGATTAGAGAGATGTGGACAGACTAGTGCCCCTTTTCCCTCAAGGAAGGCTAGAGCTCCAGCTAAGAAGTTACCTTCTCCTTTTGGCAGTCCAGTGAGGATGTGTATGGCTCAGGATTGCAAATGGATATTGTGTCAGAAGGTTTCAAGGACATGGGAGGAGAGGGACTAGAGTTAATATGGAGAAAGAGAAGCTGGAGCTTGGCAAATAATTTGAGGGCCACATGATAAGTCAGTGGATAAAGGAACTAGCCTTTGTGGGTTTGCTGCTCATAGAACATTCTTTGTCCTGCAGTTATTTGGGTGATGCAAACCTATTGCTGTAAAGCAAAAAATCTTAGTATTTGTTCTCTGCATCAGGTTTTTATTCATTGCAGTGGTGAGTGAATCCCATTGATTGTATCAAAATAACCAAGATCACACTTACCTTTGTTTTTCCCAAGAGATAAATTTTAGAAGAGTGGCCTGTTTCATGCTGATTTCCCTCCTTCACGCAGTACTACTCCATTTTAGCTAACAGAAGTGCCTAAGATGAGTTTGAGGGTGCTTCATCTTTCTTGCTCGGGAATCAAAAAAAGAGATATCTGTTTTAAGGAAGTGAAGATAACACAATTTTCTTTTGCTTCTTCCTGTTGATCACAATAAAATATAACACCTTCAAGGGTAAAATTTAACACTGAGAAATACATAAATATTTGCATCACAAAAAGTGAGCTTTATTACAAAACTATGTTAACTGACTACAGTTAGGTTCCTCTATGTACGTTTAAAGAAACTGTACGAGTATGTTG